TCATGGAACGCATGAAGTTGAGAAGCTTGACAGCGGGCTGTAATCGAAGAATAGATTGGGAACGTTCTGACCAGCTATCGAGATGCACGTACGATGCGTTCCATGGTCTCTTCGCTCAAGTCCTTGGCACTCGATTCGAGCTTTTCGAGCCACTCTGAGAATGGCACGAGAGGTAGCGGGTAGCTTGTTACTTTACGCTCAACCAGGGCGTCCGCAATGGGCTGCATCAACGTCTTCCATGCGGTCGGTCTCGGATGCACCAGATTCACCGCGATGGGAGGTTCTTCTTCCGCGAAAGCTACATCAAGAACAGCATTTGATACGGCGTGGGGAGGGATCCAAGACACGAACTAAAACACGCGTGTCACGAATAGATACCTTCGATGGTGATGGACTTACTCCTTTAGCTTCCGGAAGTGCGCCTAGACTGATACTTGATTTGACGATGATTGGTAACCAGTTTGTCGTAGACCAAGCTCCTCGCGGGGGTCCTCCTGATATTTGTCCAATTCTGAATGATGATGCTGGTAACTTGCTGTTGACGAGAACCTTGATGGAAACAGTATTCGTAGAATCCATGCCCCCCGAAGTAGCTTGGGACTTACCCTTTCCGAAACATATTTGCTCGCGCCGTAGCCAAGACCTACTGCGACCCCTGGGTCGTATTCTACTTCTTCAGGGAATGGTCCTTTCCTTTTATCCCAACTTTGAGCAGATGCGATGGAAGATGCGAACATGAAACACGGCTTTGGTTGACGCGGAGAAGATAGTGCCAAATCTATAAGATTCCGCATTCCCCGCACATGAGTGTCGAATGACGAGAGCGCCAGGTTAAAGTCGAGTCGCCAAGCATTGTGAATGATGACAGTAACAGACGTGCAAATCTACGCTATCTTTAGTCAATTCAATGACACTGGAAAAGACACGAACTTTTTGGTATAACTCTTTATCCAGACCTAGGTGGTCATCGGATGTATCAGTTTCCACATGTACTAGTTTGTCGGATTGAAGCACGGTGGTATCTAAACCGCGATCTTTGAACGAGTTTTCCTGTCGTTGTTGTATGGATGCACCCTTTGACGGGCGATTGAAGGCATATACCACAGACACGTCCTCACGCTGGAGTAGATCTGCAAGCAAGTATGAGCCAAGGCCACCCGTAGACCCGGTCAGGGCAACCACACGATCGCTTTGGCTGCACCCATGAACCAGGGTGGTGTCGACCTCTGTGACAGAGTTCCCTAATCCGACTGAATACCTCTCGATCATGTTCTCAATATCGGCCTTGGCATCGACGGTAGTTGTATCATTCCGCTGCAATACTGCATTAATGACGCTCTTCGCAAGCCGGGGAATCGAAGGACTTGAAAATATGACGTTCTGGTCAATCCGTAATGCTGACGCCTGAAGGTCACGATCTGAAGATGAGCTGAGAGAGCCGATAATGCGGTTTTTGAGAAATGTCGCAGAGATACTAGATGTACGGAGTAAGCCTTTGAGAGCACTAGCCTTTGTCAGTCTCGACCCACCTGTCAAAGCCCTGAGTAAAAAGGTCCGCATCAGGATCAACTTCCTTGTCGGCGTTCACAGCAGCAGCGTGGACCTTGAGCCATCCTTCAACATCTTCCGCAGTCCAGCTTGTAGGCAAAGGTACATCGATACCTGCTCTAGTGCTGCCCTCCACCTTTTCATATCTGTCGCCCGTGAATTCTAGTTGACAGAGTGACTAATGGGTACTATGCTCACAGGGCATTGATCTCCTCCTCATACAACTTGACAGTTGCTTTCTTGATGACGGTCCCTTTTCCAGCTCGAAGCATAGGCTTCTCGCTGTGTGTCACAAGAATCATTTCTTTGAAGATCCTGCTGAAGGCAGGAGCCTCCTTATTCGCTTCCTCTATGTTCGGCCTCCAAAAACATCTTCAGACTCAACATCAGCATGCGATATTTTAGGGGACTTACCACACTCGGTTCCTAAACTCAGCAAGTTGTTTTTCGTCATCAACGTCAATTTCACACCCTGCTCGTGGCTCTACGAGGATCCCAACTTGATTGCGTCCACGGCCAAAGACGACGGCGCCGGCTACGTAGGGGTTGGCGTAGATGACGCTTTCCATGGGAGCTGGTACTGTCTTCTCCCCGGACGAGAGTATCAAAACGTCATCAATCCTTCCGATGCTGCAAGGAAAATGTCAGAGAACATGAATAACGCAAATTTCAGTCGTACATCTTCCACAGACCCTCAATGGTCGGGTGCTTGATGAATATATCTGAAGTAGCATAACCCTTGACGTCCGGCAGATTCTCTACTGACACTTGATGCGTCGGGGTCGTCTGCAAAAAAGCGTTTGACGCGTGTTCAAAGATCAACTCGTAGACGCACCAAAACTTGACATTCATATGTACCATCGTCCTGTGGAGCCCATCTGATCTTGGAATTTAGTCCGAATCGTACCCAGTCCCAAAACTTTTGATCGACCGAATTTCGCATAGTACAAGTGTTGACACCAAATTCTGTGGCGCCGTATCCACAAGAAAGCTTGACCCCTGCATTCACCAGAGAATTTCCTATCTTAGGTGCGAGAGGACCGCCACCATAGATCTGCATTGGTAGCAACGCAAGTCATTCATTATGACAGCATCGATAACAAACTTACAACATATTCGAGGGTCTTCAGAACATCGACGGCACTCGGCGAAAACGCCCACTGTTCCAGAAAGGCAGGCACGACTGGCAAAATGTTCGATTTCGTCTTGAGTACAGAGTCCAGGATGTTTTGCGAGTTGGGTACTACAGGAGTCGCCAAGGGATCAAGGAAGGATGTAGGCGGGTAAATAGACACACTGCTCAAAGCGGCGATAGGGGCGAGCAGCTGAAAATATATACCATAGGTATGAAATGATGGCAAGGACGCAGCACCGAGGCGGATAGGAGTGGGATGGTTAGTGAGGTCGAAGATAGGTGCTAACCGTACTCTATCTTAGCATTATTCACTGTGCGAATTATTTTACTGACTCACGCATTAGGCACCAGTGGATGGCAGTCAAGTTACTTATTGAAATGGGTTTTGGGAAGCCGGTGCTACCAGAGGAGTGCAGGTAGAATAATACATCGTTCTCAGACGACGGCGGACCTAGGGAAGGGTACGGGACAATAGCCTCGTTGGGAGTACCACTAACGAGTGATGGGTACAGGTGTTTCAGCGCCGGAATCTTGTCAATCTGCAGCTGGCTCGTTTGAGTGGCAGACACAAGACCCGCTTCGACTCCGTCGATTAGGGAAGCGAGAGAGTGCCGAGTAGTGATCAAACGACGGCATTTTGTTTTCTGCATCATGCTCGTGACTGCCGCCGCTGAATTACGAGGGGACATAGGGAACGGCTTGAAAACAGTAAGGAGGAACCCAATCATTCAGAAAATCTGTGTACACACAACTAGCCCAGCGAAGATTATACCCATGAATACTGTCTGGTACAGAAGGGTGTCGGAGTTCCCGATGAGGGCGACCACTTCTTTGTCTGCGCCTGCAGAGGCTGGTCTAATTGCTTGGGCGGCCCGATGAGTAGCTCGATAGAAGTCTGAATGAGAGATAGAGACCAGGTCATTGTTGTCGGGTTTGTTGTAGACAAAGAAAGTGACGTCCGAGTTATGTTGCGCATTGAATTCAACCAATTGAGGGAGGGACAGAGATCCATCGAGGGGAGGGTAATTGACATGACCTCGATGATATGAAGCGACCATGATTTAGATGATTGTAGACGCTTGGGCTGACTGTTGATACGAGATATGAAGTACACGATTAAGTAGTCATTTTCAAGCGGCATCTCGCGAAGAAGATTCGGCGAAAAAAATGATATTTATTTGAACTTACAGGGAGAGCAAACGTGACTGCCTATATATTCCTATCTGGATCTACAGACGGGTCCACATGAGCGGCGGCGTAGTTGATGTCGGATTGCGATCGGGCATGAGATAGTCTACTGTGGAGATAACCCACACGTAGAGATAAAGTCCATATCTGCCAAAATGCCTCGTGGATGACATGTAGTGATAAATAATGGAAGGACGGACTTTCATGCAGTGAGTCTGTACCAATGAAGCCGGAGCTACACTTCAATTGGAAGCCTTGTGCTCGATATTTGACTATAAATATTGGGATATCACCTAAAGATGAAGATTATTACAACTGAAAGTGAAAAAACCAAGCGCGTACTAGTAGCACATTCACATTTCACCATCTTCTCTGCACGGAGACGCCCAAATCCCTTTTCGCGTTCGGCTCGGAAACAAGTCTCGGTGAATGGGTGAGACTTCTTGATTTGGACACAACGTATTTGTGTATGTTTACTCGGTATGACATTATTCTGTTTGTCCCCCTTTGAGCTGATATGTAGTCAATATCGAGCACAAGCTCCCAATTGGAGTGTAGCTCCGACCTGCGTCCATTGGTAGATACTGCAGACTCACCTGGCGTCAGATCGAGTCCGTCCTTCTATTATTCATCACTACCCATCCAGATTCACAAGTAAACAAAAATGGTGAAGGGAACAAAATCAGATCGGATCAGTCTATCGAAACTGTAAGTCGGCTCGAAAACCTTGTTAAATCAAGGGCGATTGAGCTCTAAAATAAGGCTAAATAAGGAATCGGTGAAATTACTAACCAGTCCGAAATCATCCGTATTGAGGTGTGTACTAGATCGTCGCGTTAGACTTATCGAACATGATGGCGACTCGGCAAGACCCTGATATATCCTTCCAGGAAGTGATTTAGATTAATGTCATGCCGGCGCCATCTCATAACTTATAAGTTACAAGTTAATGTTCAGCAAAGACTCCAAGAATCGTGGGACGTCGAATTCACTGAGTTGGCTAATGAAGTGGCTAAAAATGGTAATGATCCTTCCGCCACCTTCAAGTTAGGCCTCCTCCCGCTCGTCGTGGTGCACCACGACGACGAGCAGTGCATCAGCATCCATATCCTTCTAGTCATCGTTTGACATGACGTCCACCATTCCTTTCCCTACCTCAGGCACACCCGGCACATCGGGGATCATGTCTGAGCTGCAACCAGCCGACCTGAAACATTCAGAGCTGTCTATGGTAACATGTAACCCCCTCACATATCAAGTCTGCGACTTTGTATACGATAATTCTCCATCCACGAGCTTTCTGGATACGGCGGAGCTCTTCTATGAAACTCGCGCAGGTCAGTGGATATTGGATATCTTCCTTACTTTCGCTCACCTTTGTCTCCAGTGTAAGGATACCATCATGTTCTTATTTACTGCAATACTGACGCTACAAAAAGTTATGAAAACCCCCTGATCACTGCCACGTCTCGCACCCTCATTGCAGATATTCACGCCCTCGTGCGCCAGTTTTCCATAGTCGACATTCCAAAGCCATCCAAAATATTCAGCGCCCTGCTTCCCCGAGTCTTCATCAAAGAATCCGTCAACTCGGACCCTTGGTTTCGTGTTCTGCGTATCTGGTCAGAAATTGAAGAATTTAACGAGAGCGAGAGCTTCGGTCCGTCTCCTAGTCTCTACCTCCAGAACAGCCTTCTCACCATACTCACAGACGGCCACAAAAGAAGCATCGTCGAGCACACGCTCAACATCCTACTCTTCCCAGACTTGCATATGGGCTTCAAGATACCCAAGTCGCTCTCCCTGCGCACGACCGGGTCTACGCCTGCAAGTGAAACTATACACGAGCTCTCGCTAGTCACTCCCTCACTCCCAGTTCCCGGTACGCCTTTCGCGGTTCCATCGCCATTGCACCTCCAGCTTCACGTCATCACGTGCCTAAGCTTCAATGAACAGGGACGGATAACGTATCATCGTGACGTGTGGGACATGCGTGATGTGATAGGGCTCGTACCTGGCATGCGCATCGCGCAGTGGATCTTAGGGCGGGCCGGTGCGTGGGGGCTAAGTTGGATAGCCAAGAGACTGAGGTCCCAGCCACATAGTACATCGTTGATCACGTCTGCTGAAACGATAGTTTAGTTTTTTTTTGCTTCTCTGTTGTCCTTCCTACGATATCTCACAGCGAGCATTACCGTTCGTGATGTATACTAGTATATATTTTCAGTTGTAGCTCATCCTCGCTCTCAAACTGTATCACTGGGTTTTTGCCTCTATAGCCTTATACCTAATACCATGACTGCTTTCCTGCATCAGATCAATATTTTACTTGCCGGGTTTGGGGTCTCATACTTTAGATATACCTTACATGTTGGACCAATGTTGGACAGCACTTCACTGTAGGTTTTGATCCCCGTTGTCAAAATGTTGTTGATGTTAGGTCTTCATAGCCCCTTGTACCTCATACCACGACTACACCACCCCATCAAGTCAAGTCAATTGTTTGCTTGCCGAGGCTGGAGTCTAACACATCATACTAGATGGAGACCGCCTACATTACTCGAACTTACATATTACAAGCGGGCAGTGTACCGCGCGTCATTCGACTCTTGAACCTAGTTTCCCCCTTATTCTAGCCTGTTTCCCCACATCTCTGCTAATCAATTCATGCATGGTAGTGGTAGAAACGTCTATGAAGTTCTTTCATTCCATATGTATTGTAGCGCCACCTTCCACCACTCGAATTGCTGTTTAGTTCCTGGCCTAATAGCCTATATATAATAGTGCTCGTCATCCACTGCCAAAAGTTGCCAATGATGGACCCACTAGTACACGGAACTGAAAACAGCTACCATTAAAGTTACATGGCACGGCGTATATTTGAACAGCGGTGTATCACCAGGTATCACTTGACAGGGCATAAGTTACTAGGGTGACGCCTCCAGATTCATCTTGATCCCAAGAATTCTGGGATTTATCCGTGTAACTTGAGTAGTCTATGACTACCGAAGGCTCAACGTTGCAACGCATACGTGCATGTCGACTTCCATGTCATTGGAATGCGCATCACACGGCAGTTTTACAAAGTCAGCATCCGAGTCGCCGAGCCGCAGTGAACGGAACCTGATATAACGTCACTCACATTTTGTGCGGAAGGACTACGCTTTCTATATATGAGGCCTCATGCATTTCTCCAGACTTCTTGCTATGTAACCGGAAGGGGTGTATCAACAGAATGACTCTGAGTAGCATACCAAGACTACTTACCTTAGACTTCATCAAGTCAACAGTTCTCTAGTACGTGCATGTCAAACATAGATACCGTGATAGGCCGCCGACATCGTTCGAAGTTACATGTCACCAGTGGGCGGTGCGCCGCACTTCAATCAGCCGACGGTTTTCCCTCGGTTTAACTTGTTTCCCTATGATATGATCTGTACTCATTAATTCATGCACGGTGAAGATAGAAACGGACATTTATGGTTTATATTCTTCCGTTTCCCACTGCAGCACTCCCCTAAGTCTCTCCACTGCTCAGGCTCCCAGCTCCATAGCCTATATATAATCAGTACTCATCACGCAATCACTCTACTGTCAAAGACTGTCAAAGGTTGCATGCCAAGACCTAAGTACAAGTGCACGAACACCCATAACAACTACATGGCACAGCAGATATGACATATATAAATAGCGGTGCATCACCTGGTATCACTTGATCGGTATAGGCGCTACTAGGCGACACCTCCAGATTCATCCGTGTAGTCTACGACCACCGAACGCTCAACGCGTACGCGTATGTCGAGCTCAACGTCATTGTTGACGTGCATACTACGCGGCGATGTCACAAAGTCGAGATTGCTTTTAGAGAGGAAACCGGACATTATGTTCTTTGCATTTTGTGTAGGACGCGCGAGGACCACATTTTCCATATGCGGGGCTTGTTGCATTTCTTTTGTGCGATGTGAACGGGGGGGTGATAACGGAAGTAATGGGAATTGTGAACGTCAGCCGAAGAAGAGAACACCGGGGTGTTGCGCACCTCGTAAATGGATGAGAATTCGTTGGCTCATGATCCACGTTACAGCATAACCTATTGATGCCCTGGTGGTGCACTCTGAGCACTCTGCATCTCGATACCGGACGATAAAGTGCTTACCCTGCCGACTAATCATAGAAGCGGACGAACATCACAGTAAGTGTCCACACCATACGGAAATTAGATATAATTAATTACCTGAGTTTGGATATCAGACTCGCGATACAGTACTATGTTCAATACGTTCGATCCTGAAGGAACATTAGAAGGGTGATTGGTACAAACAGAAACTACTTGCCTGTCAGTACGACCAAATATCCAATGCCATCATACATCAGGCTGAGTAGAATGAGCGACGCCATGTCATTGAGTAGTGAGGGACTTACACCCGTACTATTCGCTCCAACCTAACAATGGTTCAGCAACTCTGAAGTTATCGAAGAGAGAAGATATCTACCTGTTGCTGAGAACATCATATTGCAGAAGATGCGTTGTGGAAATTGTTAAAATAACGAGATCATACATCATCGCAGTGACGTAGTAAAGCCAGGCGGACAATGTTTTACCAGCATTTCCTGGGGTACAGCTACGGTTGATAAGAATTTGAACAACCCACACTGGTAGTAAAGACACCGCTTACTTTCCCTAAAAACAAGACGCCTGTTTGCGTAAGATCTTTTCACGAGGAACGCTGACGTACAGGCTCATCAGTGACAGCTATTAGCTCAAACAACGGTCAATGCAAACCAAGATCAAAATATAGGTCAGAACTTACGGATCCGGTCAAACATATTGGTGAACCACTCCAGCTAAAACGGGTGAGTGACAGATGTCAGGTTGCGCGTTAAGAACACACCGTAACTGCAGTGAGGAATAGCAGCACTAGAGTAAGTCCTATCCGCCTATTTCTCCTTGCAATATTCCATGTCCTGGACGGTGTAAAATTCTGTACAGCTAGCGACACAAAAATTCGACAGCACATACCTGAAACCGATGATGACTTGCGATACCATCGTTTGTAAAACTACGACGTGATCAATAGAGTCCTGACGTGTGAACACCGACAGGACAGACCTTTGAAGATAGGCGCCAAAATGAAGTAATGTTGACAAATTTCTGGGGTGATGTTGGTGGCGAAATATCCATAATTGCTGAGGAGCATGACAACGATACTAACATAGCTACATCATCAACGTGAGCAAAAATCTATTCATGATGGGATGAGAACAAAATATACCGTATGAGGATGAATAAGATACAGGCGATACTGATCGAGAACGTATTTGTCAGTTGTGGAACGTGGATGGTTATGTGTACGTACCTGAGGTGAAAGATTGAGGGTTGACTTCTGTAAAACCGCCATTCTGCGGGGAGCGTTATCACATAGCTGAAGGTAGACATCGTTCAGAAAAAAGTAGAACGCAGTGACCATTACTATGGGTCCATCACTCGATAAAAGAAAGACTCACTCGTACAATGCAATGGAAATGGACGCAATTCGCAAATACTTATCCGAAGCTTGGCTGTCTACAACCGCACGCGAATTCATTCAAAAATGCGAAACCAAGCTCGTAGCGTTCGTGGTGATTATGGATGGCGGTAGCTCTGCGGAAGTTGACAGCGGCAAGGTGATGGTGTATTGAGAAGGCCAATAGAGTTTGGAATCGAAACGGTTAATGACGGACTGGAAGAGGCAAACCAACCGGGCCCGGGCACACTGGATACTTCACTTGGATCGCAGGGAAGGGAGGTAAACTTATGAATAGAAAATCCACGTACTATTAGTAGTAGTCGCGCCATGCTTTTCTAGGTACTGATTAGTAAAGGCCTTGGAGCAGGCAATATTAGAACGGGGAAAGCATGGACAGGTTCAACGATCGGACTCATCGGAGTCTCTTGCAAAGTGCAACCCACAGCTTATATAAGCAGGTATCGGTGTGGCGATCACACCTTACATGTGAACTATTGCGGTTGACCGTGCGCGCGACATCTCACAACTTCTTGCTTTTCAACAACCGAAGAATTTCTGGCTGCGTCACCCCCCACCATGTCGAGATTGCATACGCGCCAAGCTACCATGGCCACAGCATCAAGGGGAACAAATGTACATATACACAGCCAGGTGCTACGTTTCCCTTCCCATCATATATGTGAACGTGCTTCGAGGGAACGGGGAAATGTTGTCGATGTCAAGGAGTGTACGGAGATTTGGTCACTCACATCAGATGGTCTGCAAACTCTGCCTCGCAAACAAATTTGCACTACTGCTTAAACCCGCAAGCATTCACCGACACGCACGAAGTGCGGCCTTTCTTGCACTCCTCATTTGAACCTAACAAACCCACGACTGGCCAATGCATGGAACTATGGCAAAACATGGGAACACACGGCCATCTACCATTTGAACACTAGTGCAATCATCAACTCGCGACCAGCGAGACCATGCATATATATAAAGGATAGAGACATTGGAACTTTTATATTTTCTCATAAAAGTTCACAAGTGAGAAAACGCGTGATAATGCGCGCTTAAATCCTTCACCTCCTCGGCCGACCTCACGGTTTTATCACGGTCCTGCGAATTTGGTCTGAAGTTGAAGAATTCAGATATAGCAATCGTTCGATGCGTTTCGTGCTCAAGTCATGGACCTACACGTAGGCTTGAAAATACCCGAGTCGCTCTCTGAACCTACTCACCTTGCAACCTGCCCCCGGCACACCATCCGTAGTCACCTTGGCGCTGCACCCGCATGCGCCGAGTTGTGGATCTTTCTCACATGCACGGAGCCTCTACTTCCATCGGGAAGAATGCAATATTACTGCATACGCTCACATTAAACTCCTGATCAGTCTGGCCCGCGGCCGGGATCCCCGCCACTCGACTCGTTCATTGTATTATGCCAGGCCGATCGCGAGTCATACGAAGTGAGACATGCGCGATGTTGTGGCGCTCATTACCTGACATGCGCATCCCACAGTGGACCTTAGGGTGAGCGGCGTATGGAGTAGCTGCCAGTGGGGAGAGACTTGGGGGTTCGGCCGTAGTATACTTATGGGGCCCGTACATTACTCAATGCTGTGTAGAGTTTTCCCCCCCCTTCCCACTAACTTCCTACGAGTCTCGTAGTGATTGCTGTCGTTCGTGATAACCCTCTGCACACTCTTACACACTGCACGCAGCCCTAAGTTGAAAGTTACGAAGACAGTGGAGTGGGACCCTATGCGAGGGGGAAGTAGCACCCGTAGCTTAGTCAGCAACTCACTATCCTCTTGCCCATGCAGGCACACAGTAGCGGATACACCACTCCAATAGTACCCTGGTAACAATATTAATGCAGATATACGGCGATATAACTCAAATGTAACAAATTAGCTAGCCCCTTGACCGTAACTCCACCGCTGAAACCGCTTTGTTTAGTTCCCGTTTCCGTATCCCATACGCAACCTGCGCAAACAAAGCACTTCTGACAATACTAGTAGCACCGAACACAGGTATGACTTGATAAGCGCTGGTGCCTCCAGATTCACTTGGTCGTCGGCTTATCCCACGAATTCGAATCGTCATAGTCATAGTCCACCTTCACCGAGCGGTCGACGCATACACGTACGTCAAGTTCCACGTCTTCGGGATGCCCATTGCGGGATGATGTGGGCGGGAACTCTGGACCAATGGGGCTTTTAGAGTTTTTAGAGTGGCCTTTCGATTCGAACTGTGAGCGGAGACCGGACATCGCGTTCTTCCGCGCACTGCTGTGTGTGATGGGACGCGCGATGACCACGTTTTCGAGGCGTCGAGGGTCTGGCTCTGACATTTCTTTGAGAGGTGAATTAAAATCGCACGTCAGTGGTAGAGCAGTCAAGCTCTGGAGTGGTGCGCACCTCGTACATGTACGAGGATCTGTTGGCTCATAATCCATGTTACAGCATAACCCAGTGATGCCCTAATGAAGCAGTCTGAGCTGAATTTCCTTGACGCCAGACAATGCGAAACTTACCCCGCCGACTGATAATAGGAGCGAGACAACATAATTGGGATCAACTTCCATAGCGGATCGAAAAAAAAGCCTACGTACCTGAGTCTCGGCATCGGTCGTATGATAAAGAATGAGGTTCAATAGGTTCGTCGCTAAAGAAATTTTAGGAAGGTGATTGTCACAGGCAGTGCAGACTTGCCTGACAGCACGATAAAATATCCAATACCGTCATATATCAGGCTAAGGATGATGAGCGAAGCGCATCGATTCTATCGATGACGAGACTTACACTCGTACCAATCGACCTACTCTAATGACAATAGTGGTTCAGCGAATATAAAGCAAAAGGAGAGAAGAGGCGCACCTGCTGCTGAGAGGATTATAGCGCAGAAGATGTACGGTGGAAATTGTCAACATCACGAGGTCATACAACATCACGACGAGGTAGTAGAGCCAGGCAGACAATCTCTTGCCAGAATTTATTGGGTGCAGCTATGATTTATAAGAATCTGGACGGCCCACGCTGGTGGTAAAGGAATCACTTACTTTCCCTAGAAAAGGTACAATGTTTGTGAGGTCTCATTGTGAGGAACACTAACGTACTTCAACAACGACAGCTGTTGGTGCTGAAGGTCAATGCAAACCAATGATCAACGTATAGGCCAGAGCTTACGGATCCGGTGATATAGATTGGTGAACCATTCCACCTTGAACATATATAAGAGAGATGATAATATACTGGTAACAAGAACCTACCGAAACTGTGATGAGGTATAGCAGCAGAAGTGCAATTCCTAACCTCCTGTTTCTCCCTGCGACATTAAATGTCCTATAAGATGTTTAAGTCTGTACACCTAGCAAAAAGTAGGATATACCTGACACCCAGGATAACTTGTGATATCATAGATTGCATAACTACAACATAGTCAATATAGTCCTAGTAGGTGAGTATCGATAGGACAAACCTTTGAAGGCAGGCGCCGCGAGATAGTAATGTTGACACGTTTGTTGGGTAAAGCTGGTGGCGAAGTATCCATAATTACTGATTATCATGACCAGGACACTGAAATAGCTGCATTAAATGTAAGCAAAAGAGAATTACATGCCATGATGTGGACGGAACATACCGTATGAGAATAAACAGGACGCAGGCAAGGCTGATAGAGATTTGTCAACGGCGGTAGGTGAATATCGGATATCCGTGTATCTATAAGTACCTGATACGGAAAATTGACGGTTGACTTCGGTAAAACCGCCATTCTGCGGGAAGTGTGATAAGATAACTGTTGTTCAGAATATAGTGATCATTGCAGGACTCCAACTCAACCAAAAAGACGGCACTTACTCGTAAAACGCGATGGATATGGATGCTATTCGAAAATAGTTATCTGAGGATGTGCTATCTAAAGCCAAGCTCCGATCCATTTAATAGATGAAAGGTGCGTTGTTTCTGGTGTAGCAAGAGTCTGTCAGATAGTTCTGACGTTCTAGCCTTGATAGATAGAGGGGGGAGGGTATGTAGTAGCTCAGAGCTGTGTCTGAGCAAGCTGCTGATATTGACGCAAGGCTTCTGCTGCACCGGACGCTTCGATTTCGGCGGAGAAAGGGAGCAACACTGAGGAAGAAAAGGCATCGCACTGGCAGCTTTTGTATCATCTATACTTTGAAATTGCTCCGAGAGTGCTCCGAGCCGCGTTGGTAAATAAAAAGTGCCTAGAGTCAAAACATCCAGAATCCAAAAGTCGTCCCTAGATCGGAAATATTCGGTAAAACGTTCGTGCAAGCCGGCCAGTGACAAGGTCCTCGCAATAATAATGATCATTTGCATGTGCCTGGTCATGTTCAATGAACAAGTTAAACGATTCTGCTGATGTAAGCACTTTGACGCGACCCTTAGGCTCAGCGTGCGCCCTGTAATCATATTACAGTCACTCCAAAGTTACTCATTGCCGTCAAGTCTTGCGGCTCGCCCACTTTAAAGGTACGGTCTTATTATCTGCAAGGAACGCATGCTGTCAGATATATATACAATCCTGCCACACGTTAGCCTAGAACGTCAAAAACCCTCAAATCAACGAACAAGGTGATCATATCCATAATCTGACACGTAGAGGATTTCAAATATTCGTGCGACCGTACCTCAATCTCACGTCCAAAGTCTGAGGGAGAGCGGGAGTTCGGCTGAGTTCGGTGCGTCCTGTTGCTTCGTCTTGCCTATGATTCCATTACTTATTTAACATTCTTACAGCCCTCAAAAAACCCATACGTATCATCCTGGTTGCGCAGAGTCGCACATTGTTATAGTCTGCTTCAGCCCTGACTCGGGATTCCGTCGACGAACAGTCATTGCTGTGGCCGCGTGTGTCAGCACGTGCGAATAGTGGGGTCACCGGGGTATTATTTTCTTGGGCCACTGAGTCATTGATACGCACACTCAAGGTTGAAACCTCGGATTTTCTGTTAATTCATAACCATACCGGTTAGATCTTGTCGCTTCTCAGAGTCGACATCATTACAGTCTACAACGGGCACTTGAACCACCACCGTCACTCGAACCAACCACTCGCAACATTCAATTTCTGGTCCAGATAGATTCTGAAGATAATAATTTGTTGTACGATGCCAGGCTTCAGAAGTTCAAGCGTTCGTTTAAGACTGGACCTTCCTTCTGTGTCGCTGTCTGTTTTCCCCCCGTACTTCCGTGGTTTCCTCTAGGCTAACTTTGGGTGCTAGGCCTGCAGAAAAGACCTTTGCCGACATTTAATACTTGTTCGAGCATTTGCTCAGGGCTGAGACTCCTACCCTGTACTGGATCGACGTTTCCAGCAAGATGTATTACGAGGGATCGACGCCCACGTGGCGGTCTAACTTCTTAATATTCAAACCCTATTTCCGAAGGGTCAGCGACTATCAACAACGAGCGTCTCTGCATACGATCCGTCAAGCGCGGACGTACGTTGCGGGTGAACTCTTCGTTCATTCGGACGTGCGACGCAAATACCACTGACGTGGCACACAAAGTTTGGTCTGGCAGGCATGCACCTTCTTGCTGAACTCAGTCGCCATCGATCGCGCCATCCATGCCCGATGCTAAGCAATGCCGCTACGTATTTTATTTTTCGGTGGCGCTTCGGTTGGCCTCGATGCACCCTTGTACGCTCGGACTCTTGTATGCGTTTCCTTGGAGCGCAAGCATTGACATCTAGTCATCATATACACTTTGTGAGGATCGCGTATTGGTATAGGGTGTGACATGGGTGGACCCGGGTGGCACCCGTACCCAATCCGCGGGTGGATGGAACTTCAGAGGCCTACCCGCACCCGTGCGGGTGAGAGTACCACGGGTGCGGGTGGATCCACGGGTGGGTCCGCAGATGGTATGGGTCACCCGCGGGTGACACATTATGAATCGTAGAATACGACATGGGTAGTACTACATAATATCAATCACAGTCGATTTTGCAGCTGGTACTGTGTTTGACGAGCAACGTCAGTTCGCTAGTCACACTATTCTTCACACAAGGGATAAAGGACCTGCGCAGGCAAGAGGTGTGCAAAAGGGAAATGTATGGATATATTGGCGTTATAGTCACTGTGACAGAGGGGTGGGGAGCCTCCGAAGTTGCGACAGGTGTGTGTCGTATATTGCAAATTTGCACACCCCTTGTGCGAAGGCGCAGTAAACTAGTGTCGCTCAGCAGTATTCTTTACGCCAACAAGGTGGGAGTCGGGCAATTTTTCATCTACTTCTGTAACGAATAAACGAGGATCGAAAACTCAGTACCTATCCTTACATTTGAAATTGCGACGACTCGGGAGGATTTCAGTTTACATATCTCCCTTCGGAATCAGCGAACTCGTCGGATGGAATGCATCACTTTATTACTTCCACAAGCCATTTGTCCCGACCTTTGCGGATATGTTATTAAACAGTCCGCCTTTCGGACACTTTGCATGCTACATATGGTGCATATATTGCCTAAATGATATCATAGCACCGCGCCCAGATTCATTTCACCAGCGGGGCACCCCATGAACTAGAAAGCCCGCATTCATCCGTGTGGTCCAACGTCACCGTGGGCTTGACGCATGTACAGATGTCGAGTTCCATGTCATCGGTGTGCGCATCGTTGAGTCCGGATTCGGGATCAGTGTGGCTTTTAGCGGTGAGCGGAGAACGGATGGCGGATGCTGCATCCCGGGCGTTTTGTGGGGAACGCATGGCGGCTATGTTTTCTGAACGTCGGGTTTCTGTTTCTGATAGCTCTGTGGGAGCGGAGGAGCGATGGAACGAGTGAGATTGCGAGTTTGTCAGCGTAAGAGCGGTGAAATTGTGGAGCGGTGCGCACCTCGTAGATGGATGAGGATCCGTTGGCTCATAATCCATATTACAGCAAAACCTATTGATGCCCTAGTGATGCCCTTTGAGCAACTCTATGATGGATGTTGCAGAACTTACCCTGCCGACTAATAGTATGAAATAAACATGAGCGCACGAAGCTTCTATGGACCATGATATAGAAATCATACCTGGGTCTGAATATCGGATGTATGATAAAGGATGATGTTGAGTATGTTCGATCCTGATAAATGTTATTCAGAGTTGTGTGGCAAGCACAAGTAGAGCGTACCGACCTGTCAGCACAACAAAATATCCAATGCCGTCATAGATCAAGCTGAGCACGATGAGCGACTCTCCATCACTGCGAGAGTATCGAGGGACTTACACCCGTACCAGCTGTTCTAGCCTAGCAATAGGTCAGTGACTCTAATCACCTGAGGGAAAGGATAGGTGCACCTGCTATTGAGAGGATTGTACCGCAGAAGATATACGGTGGAGATGGTTAAGACTGCGAGGTCATATAACATCGCAGCGGTGTAGAAGAACCATGCCGATAGTATTCTACCAGAATTTCCTGGAGTGCAGCTATGGTGCATGAGATTTTGAACAACACATTAGTACAGGGACTGCTTACTTTCCCTAAAAAGTGCGCTGTTTGCGCGAGTCTTGTTATGAGGATAGTTGACGTACATTAACGACGACAGCTGTTGGTTCCTATGTCAACATGAACTCGAGATAAAAGCACAGGCTAGCGCTCACGTATGCGGTCAAACATATTGGTGAACCACTCCAGCTAGACCAGGTCAGAGATGATACACTAGTGTCGTAATGACTCACTGCAATTGAGACAAAGTATAGCACGACCAATGCAATTCCTATCTGCCTATCCCTCCTTGCGATATTGAATGTCCTAGATAACGTAAAATTCTGTACAGCCGGCTGCCCATAAGATATACCTGACACCTAGAATGACTTGTGATATCATAGTCTGTATAACTACCGCGCAGTGAATAGAGTTCTGGTAGGCAAACATCGATAGGACCGACCTTTAAAACAGGGCGCAATCATATAGTAATTTTTACACGTTTCTTGAGTGAAGCCGGTAGAGAAGACACCGTAATTACTGATTGTCATGACTGTGATACTACCATAGCTTGATAAAATTCAGCCAAAAAGTTGCATGATGGATGAGGACAGACATACCGTATGAGGACGAATAATATGCAGGCAAGGCTGACGTATTGTGGTTGTCAGTGGGGGTACACGGATGCCTATGTGTACATACCGGAGATGAGAAAATGAGGATTGGCTTCGGTAAAACCGCCATTCTGCGGGGAGGGTGATGATATAACTGAAGAAAATCAGTCATGACAGTGACCACGGTACTGCCTGAAAAAAGCCTTACTCGTATAATGCGATGGAGATTGATGCTATGCGCAGATACTTCTCCGTTGCTTGGTTGTCTATGATACTGAGCTCTTTCATCTGTGAAATGAACACAAAAAATTCAGATCACTGAGGTTAGTTGGTATGGACGTGAGGATATATCGTTGCGTAAGTTAGGCAGTGGTGACTGAATCGAGGGGCGATGTAGAGCAAAAAATGAAAAGTAAGAATGATTGTGTGGGCGAATTGATAACGATGGCGACGGTTCGCGTTGAAGCAGTTTATGGCTGAAAAGAAAAGAGAGATTATAAAGAGGAATGGAGAAGCATTGGGATTTGAATAATGGAAGAAACGATGAAAGACTTGAGTATATAGGAATGGAAAATTGAGCGACATATTAGGCGATCTTGTTGCTGGGTTGGACCCAAGGCAGTGGATTGTCCAAGGGCGGTTAACTACAGTCTATTGCCAGGGAAAACGTTAAAGGAACTTGTAAGCGCGATCGCGGCTACTGTAACGGAGTTTTAATGTGGCTTGCCGCCCTGGGTCATATATCACATACAATGAACTTCCAGTCTCCCTCTGCCATAGGTAACTGGTTCTGTAGTATCGCGCTATCAGGGAATTCATAGCAAAACGCAGTACTCGGCATGATTCAAGAGTCTAGAGGCTCTTCGAGAGCATATATACCTAGTAACTACGTCACGGTCTAGACTTCAAAATCGCTGAGCACATACTCACCTTAGTCATTGGCACTGACACACACTTGCGCGTGAAAGCTTTTTTTAATGTGAATTTGGAAGTAGTACTTGATGAGTAGGCATAACAGCCATGCGCTCATCGCTGTCTTCAAATAAGGATGCGGCTTGTTTATACCTCGGAGCCTTTACTAGCAAAGCTTCCGACGGTTGTTTTCGTTTGCATTAGGCTGCTAGAGCACTGCCTCATCTGATCTATCAATATATCATGAATCAGTGATTGACTATGAGAGGTCCGTCGACTGAACTGAATCGTAGATACGCTCACAAATACCCATCTTTTTAAAAGTAACCCTTTTCTCGTGACCTTCGAAGTTCCAAGCGTCTCGTTCGAGTCCACGGCCACCTTTTCCCATAGAGAAACTACAGGAAATACTCAGAGCTCGCACTTGGTCCAAAACTTACTCAAACAAACTTATCACAGCGATACATCGCGCGCGCATAGATCCAACTGCATGCAATATCGGTACCAAACACACCCCTATTCCCGAGGTGAGAAAGAGGACAGAGGGCGATGAAATAAGCACTTTCCAATTGTCTTCTTTAGCTTGTCTACCCAGATCTCTGGTATTCAAGGTCCAGCATAGCGCCAATAGTACTTTTCGTGGAGCTCGCGGGTAAAGATGCCACGTAGGAACGATTATACTTTGCAACTGCAAGCAAGATACAAGAAAGACGCGACATCAACCCCCCCTCTATCATTCTATCGGGTCTTGTCTTCAAGTCATCTCGGGAAAGTTCAGCCCAAAGGTTCATCCACGGACCACGGGTAGGCAAACGACCAATCACATGCTCACCATATGCCGACTTGTCAATCATGATCATGTGTCTTACAACTTTCATCGCAGAGCGACTCCAAGAAGGCAATACGACAGTCTTTCTAGTCCTTCTTCACACGAAAACACCAAAAACAGCATGAATAAATTGCATATCCAACCCGTCACTCAAGCACCACTCCGACCTGCAGCTTTGATGACGGTACCATTAGCCAACTGGGGCAACGTCTTGTTTGGTGCTGGCGAAGATGGTGCTGGCAAGAAACCCGCTCCGACTAACCACGCAAGGTATCTTCCCATCAGCTGTTCCGAAACCGTGAACGTGCACTGCTGCCCTTGCGAGCGCAGCAGCGTCATAGTGTTAGTGGCGTCAAGCTCAGGGGGCTTTGGTACTCGTCGGTAAGTCATCAAGGACGAAATGGAGGAGCGGGAAAAGGGCGTTATCTTGGACCTCCATGACGTGCTGCTCTAGCTTGCGACGCCATACGAGATACTCGCATTGTTGTGTAGGGAACCCGTACTCGGCCAATGATGAGAGGATGTTGTTGAAGGTCGGAGGGGGCACCGCAGTAATGTGCAGCACGCTTTGTGCAGCGTTTGGCAGGGGCTCCACTGCAGCGAGAGCAGTGCAACGAGCAACATGATCCACAGGCACCATGTTCACAGTGTTGTTGATATCTGGGACGAAGCCGAGCTGGACGCACCCCTTGAACATGCGCCAAATAAAGTCGTCGGTGTTGGTCACTATGGGGCCCCACAGTCAATATATCAACATCTCACAGAAGGAGCTTACATACCTGCAGTATGCGAGTCGCCAACAATATAACCAGGGCCGAACGATATGGCCTCGCAAGCCCCTCTTACCAGCTTCAAAGAGCAGCTTCTCCGACACCCATTTGCTCTGACCATAGCCAGACTTGAGACCTACTCTTGCACCGTCCAAGGTCATCATCTTCCGGAATACCTCTCCGCGAATCTTGAGACTGTGCCAGAGAGTCAGACAATCGCACATAGTGCTCTGTGTCGATCGCCGATGTCGATGAAACGAAAACAAGTATCTTCTGCTTTGTCGTCGAGGCGAGTTCTACAGCAGTCAAGGTACCGATCACGTTCGGTGCACGAAGTCTCTCGTATGGGTACACCCAATGCACCTGCGCAACACGTGTCAGATATCACTGTATGCATGCGAAAGGGTAGAGTAGCTCACCAGGGCACCATTGTGCAAGACGACGTCCGCCTCAGCAGCGACTCGTGACCAAACTTCATCGCCCATACCGAACATATCAAGGCCAAGGTCTCCGATCACCACCTCCAGTCTACCCGAGGTGAGCCACTGCTCATCCCAAACGCCCCGATCACCAGACCCTTCTCTAAGGCGCGCCACACCTTGTTCGACGCTGGGCGCACGTACGAGACAAATGACCTTCCGAACCCTATCAAGGCGCTGCAGGAGATCACGCAACACAAAAGCCCCAAGATAACCAGTAGACCCCGTCAAGAACACAGTAACAGCACCTGACTTAAGTCCTCAGATATTGGCGGGTACGAGGGTCGCAAGCCTTGAACGAGCGTCTCGTAGTCCTGTCCGTACTGAACAGCAGAGCTCAGTTTCGCAGACGCCTTGACAGGCGTCGCAGGGCGCGTCTCAGCGTCCCCGTAAGCGATACCAAAGTCTGGGTCACGAAGCGCATCTAGCGCCGAAGCGAGGCCCGTGATAGTCGGCTGGTCGAAGATAAGGCCAAGTGGAGCTTCGACAACGAAGATTTTGCGGATCTCGAAAATGAGACGCGTGGCAAGGATTGAGTGGCCACCCAGATCGAAAAAGCTTTCGTCGAGGGGGATAGGCGTGGGCGCGTTCGGGAGAATACTGGCCCAGATGGTGCGCATGGTTTGTTCGGTGGGGCTCGCTGTGCGCCCGTTAACAGTCTTTTTGGGCTCGGAGTGCACAGCGTGGGCTTGTGCCGTATCGGGGAAGGGAAGTGCAGGTTTGTCTATTTTACCGTTAGGATTGAGGGGCATACGATGCAGCGGAACAAACACTGTAGAAGGAGAGTTAAGTAAAGGAAGTAGAACAAGGAAATGATCGATCTTACATGTTGGTATGCTGTAACTGGGCAGTTTCTTTTTGAGGTGCTCCCTAATATCCTTGATGAGCCGTCTATACTTTGGACTCTTACCATCAACCTTCTCGTCGTCCTCCGTGAGCTCACTAGGCAAATCCGTCCAGCTTCGAGCCCTGCAGAGGCACAAAGTAACTGACAAGAATCTTCTCCTCATCTTTGTCTCTCCGTACGAGTGTGACGTTTTCCCGCACGAGCGGGTGCTGGCTCATCAACGTATCAATCTCCCCAAGCTCGATCCTGAAACCACGGATCTTAACCTGATCATCTGCACGCCCTGTGCACTCAACGCGCCCATCAGGGAGATACCGACCAAGATCGCCCGAACGATACATCCGGTCACGGATGCCCTTCCAATGACGTGACTCGGGCCCAGCAAGGCCCTGGGGCGGATGCAAAATTGTGTCCCTCCAGGGTAAAGCGGCAGAAGAGAACCAATTGCTGACGAACTTCTCTCCAGTAGCTTCGGTATCGAGGTATCCCTCTGCCAAGCCTCCAGATCGCACATAAATCTCTCCGACCTCTCCCACTGCGCAAGGGACATTTCTATCGCTGCGGTTGACGACAAGGAGCTGCACGTCAATCATGCCCTCTCCAGCTGGCATGATGTCCTTCTGTGTGGCGAGGAAAGTCGCGTCCTCGGATAAGGGTGGAATCGCAAAGTAAGATACAGCGCGCTGCGTCTCTGTTGTGCCGTACATGTTGATGATCTGCACATTTGTGGCGAGGGCTTGCAGGCGGAGGCAATCGCGCTTTGTTAAGACGTCACCGACGAAGAATGCGTTTCGTAGGGATGGGATCTGACGCGTCGCTTGAGCGGAGAGTAACTGACCCATGGCGGGGGTTAGGTGCGTGACAGTGACTTTGCTGTCGTCCATCCATTCTGCGAGACGGCCGGGTGTGCCGATGTCTTCTGCGGTGGGTACATGAAGCTCTGCACCCAAGAAGAGGGGCGTGAAGACTGTAACGTTATCCCCATCAACAGATGTGTATCTGCTCGACAATATAACACGTACTATCACGTTGGATGGGATCATGGGCGATCCCGCTCAGCATTGTGAACTTGGATGTTTCAGTGAGCAGGAAGCGGTTGCCCATCCAAGGGAAGAAATGCGTGAGACTGTAATGGCGTCCTCGAACGCCCTTGGGTATGCCAGTGCTTCCACTGGTAAAGGACAGCGTGCCAATGCTGTCGGGACCTAAAATGACATTAGGATCCGTTTCTGCGAGACGGACCTGGGCCTTCAAACATCGATTCCAGTCGTTCGCGCCTCCGAGTATTTGACCAGTAGAAGAGAATTCAAGCGCGGGTACCTCCACACGGATTTTGAGTTCCGTGGATAGGAATTCGCGCACAGAAGGTGCAATTTGGCCAGCACCTGAAAGGACAACAAGGCCGCGAGGTTGAGCTACCCGAAGGTATATGATCTGTCGTGAAGGCGGGTATGCAGGATCTGACCCGAGTTACAAATGAACTGAAAGAAACATGAAAGATCGTACCTATAACCGAGAATGTCGCACCACTTTTAAGAACAGCCATAACAGCTACGACCAGCTCGACACTACGATGTGCGTAAATCATGACAACCTCTTCCCTCTTCACACCACCTGCTAGGAGGTGGTGCGCTAGTATGTTGGAGGCTCTTCGAATGTGTCCGTAAGTGAATGTTCGCTTCGTCTGCGGCTCGCTAGGAATCGAGGCAGGGACACTTTGAATGATGCAAGACCTATCAGGCCATTTCTGCGCATTACGGGAAAACACATCTGTGATGGCTCCCTTCCAGTCACACCAATGTAAATTCGCTGTTGGGTTAGGCAAGCGTTCGCGTTGGGCGGCCGTCAAGAGAGGAACAGAACCAACCGCTGCAGTCGGATTGGCAGATACCTTCCTTAAAAGTACAGAGAGCTGATCGACGATGAATGATATGCGGGCGGATGTGAACAACAGGGAGTTAAAAAGAATTCGAAGGGAAATGTGGGGAGCTAAAGAGGCGCGCGTAGTAGTGGGAGGTCTTGTGACGAAGATGGTGAGATCGGAAGTTAAGCTAGTTGATCGGATAAAATTATCTCGTGGCTGATCTGTTTCGTCGAAGAAACGGACACGGAAAAGAGGACGAGATGCTTCAACAGAGTCGTCTTTGTCCCTGTGTAAAGCCCGTACGATAGTCTCGTAGGGTAGCAGGTCTGCTTCGGCCTCGCGTTCGACGTGCTGAACACGGCGCACGATAGTCCAGAATGAATCTGATGGCTCCACGGAAAGACGAAGAATCAAAGGATAGCTTGCAGCGGCAGAAGAGGAGCCAATCACGAAGTCTGTATCAGCAGTGTACCTGTGTAGGAGGACGAGAAAAGCAGAGAGGAGTAGATGGAAAGCCGATGGTCTAGTTTCAGAAGTTTTATTCTCGTCCTCTCCGCCATCTTCGCTCTCAGCATGAAGAGCAAGCTTCAAAAGACTGAGTGAGGTCTGCTCTGAAAGATCTGCCAGATGAGCGGCTTCGATGAGTTTATTAGCACCAGTCGATCGCGGATAATCTGTGGGTAGAGACATCACAGGTAGATTTTGCAACCTCGCAAGCACTCTGGAGAGTGCATCTGAGGCCATTTTGACAGTCGAGGATAGAAAATTGTGAAAGCAATCGAAAGAACAAAAATATACTACATAAAACTTGTGACTCGTTGTGTACAAGCTATCAAATTACGGCCGAAAGTCATTGTACTTCCCACAGTGAATATATAGTAACTCGTAAGCTTTTACATTTCAACTGCAACATCCCCCATCATCCACACAGGACCACACTCACAGGATTATGGGGTGCGCCAGCAGCCACCAGCGCATCCTCAAAGCACCTAGGGCAAGGTCGGCAGCGCAGATTTGGTCCCTTCCCGAGGACCCGAACTTCCTTCACGTTGAAGTCCCGGATTCTTCTAAAACTATCACCGTGGTGGATAGGACCTTGACTCTTCCTAGGTCAAGTGTGGAAAAGCCAATTCGACCCCTTTCTGAAGACCATGAAAATTTCGAGTTGCAACTTGAAGTCTCAGATTCTTCTAAAACCACAACTACACCGATAGCTATAGGGATATTCTCGCTTCCAACAGAGTTAATATGTCATATTCTTCTCCTCCTTCATTTCAAAGACCTTTCATGCTGTGTATTAGTCCGTTCTTTCACGTGGTTCTATGATTTTTATGGGCTGACTTTTGGATTACGCTAGACCTGCAAAGCCTTCTGGCATGTGGCCCAGAATTTCGTCGACGTTCAAATCCAATTGGAGCTTTATGCCCAGGGCTTCACGGAGACTCCTACCCTGGACTGGGTCGACGTTTCTAGCAAGATGTATTCACTCAAGAGATTGGCATCCATGTGGCAATCTGATTTCCATTTGAACTCCGTTTCTGAACAAACAGTGGCTATTGGGAATATTCTCAGCCCGTACATTCCTAGCTTGCAATCCGTGAAGTGTGGGATTTGGTGGATGTCGGTTATCAGTAGACTCTTCATTCGGGAGTGTGACACAAACTTCAAATCAACCCAGACGTGGCCGGAGCAGAGCTTCGACTCGCTGGTAGACATGCCCTTCACGAAGTCAGTTGTCGTTGACCCTCTTCAGGACCTTGCGGTTATGGTGTCGTACGGCATCCTTGATATGCTAGTTCATCGCGACTTTTCGATGACATTTCGGTTGGCTTCATCGCAACGTCCGCACCCAGATTCTCCATGGCCTTATTTGAATTGCATGCGTCCTCCTGAAATGGACCCTGACCATGATTTCCGCTTTGTGGATCAGCCAGCGATCTGTGGGGATCGTGTAGTGGCACTCTATTACTACACGAACCACAGCAGATCAACGTCGAACATCTTCATACTAGTGGTAGATTGGAGGAAAGGACATGCGAAGGGTGTAAGTTCAATCTGTTCTCGAAACTCTGTCACTAAGCATGAGCAGTCTTCCTTATACGAACTGGGTGGGACTAAGGCGAGTTTCCATCTACTTGACGAACAGAGGATCATTGTCATCGGCCCGGAAGGTGGTATGGCCTTGTACACATTAGAACTCGATGGTTCGCCTCGGCGCCGAATTACGTATGTCCTTCCGAGTGTGCAACGAGACCTTGACTATGGTCCTGTGGGACTACTGCGACCGCGCTATGTTATTCATGCAACCCCATCGTTTCACGGGCAAGCGGTTCACCCAGACCTTATACCTGACTACGTGACATCTCTGGAGTCACAAATCATGGTTTTGGAGGTCCTGTCGAGCTCATGGCAGGTGATTCTAGTCGTCGATATGGCCATTTTTGCAACAAACGCCACACAGTCAGAGATACCTGTCGAGATTCCTTGGTCAGAGTGGGGCCCCAAGTACACACGCTACTTTCCGCATCATCCAAGCCACCGAATCAGCGTGTTCGGCAGCAAAATGGCATATGCTCTGCCTCAGGATCGTGCTCCTGAACCTGGACAAAGACTGGAAGAACTCCCTGCAGAGGGTTCCTTCTACGTACACATCTGGGACTTTAATCGAGCCATTTCTCGCTTAGAACATTCGAATAATGTCTACAATTGCAATTCACCAGGTCGTCTCATCCGCAGGCCTGGTCGGCTGGCTCAGACATGCTTCACGGAAGACGATGCAGACATTATCACGAATCATCCTTACACTACTGCTGTCTGCCCCACGGGTTTCTCGACGCGTCACTTTGACCGGTTTTTTTTGGAGCAGGATCGACTTACTTTGATATGGGTAAGCGTTCTTGGTATCAATACAGGAAAGTTTTAAAGTGATTGAATTATAGGCTCACCCTGGCTCGGTTCAGATTCAGGTCGTTTCTCCCTCACCGATAATGCCAACTTCCGAAGTTGGCTTGGATGTTGAACAAGGCCAAATAGCTCACAGCCCAGAGCTGCAGCAGACAAAGGAAATGCAGTCTCGCCACAAGACGAATATCTTATTCTACCTATTGGGCAAGTTGCGCAGACGGCCGAGATACCCAGAATCGGAATAGGTAGTCTTCCTGCTCTGAAACCTGTAATCTCTCTTACCGGATTAGCGGTCATGGGTGGCAAGGCTTGTGGAATCTCCAAATCACGGGCGTCACCAATAGATTCAAGGCTCCATTAATTTCTCCAAGCGAGTAGACGAAGATGGCCATTGTTGCCAACCAAATAGTCAAATATACAGTATACCCCCAACCTTTGTCTTTCAACCCGTACTCGCTACATCTTTGTACATTCTTATAATACATACTGATTCCACGTACCTACCCTCGTTTTGCCTCTTTCCCCTGGTCTCTTACATAGACTCAGATGATTCGCTACCCTCGTTCAAATTCCCGCTCAGTCCCTTCCATGTGATACCACACTCGTTACCGAACTTACACAGAAAACTCACGAGTCCGTTCTGTTCAGTGTCCTCTCAAGCGCATTCATTTCTCAGATTCAAAACCGTCTTCTGCGCGACCTCTAACAGCTGATGGTTCTGAGCCTTGTTCTATCTATGGTTAGCGAAGATTGATGTAGACGTTAAAAAGTACACTCAAGAACATTCGCCGGTAGATATAAGACCGTCTGCCAATACATTCAACGCCACTCCTACACCCTTGCGCCAGGCTTAGTGAAACAATGTACATCGATATATTCATTGTCTGGAGTTGGTAGAGGTGCTTCTCCCTTGTATTGAAAATGGAGCGCCTTGTATACCGCAACCTGTGGTGCGATGAGCAAGTTTTTAGCAACCCCTTTAATCACGCACATTGACATCGGTATCCGTGCAGAGCGCGAGGATGGAGGTCGTCATTGCCTGCAGATAGGATGAAATCATGCATATATAGCAAACAGAGTGGGAACACCGCACCTTCTGTTCCACCATTTTGATCAGGTTTGTGGCGATTCCTTGGCGTTGATACTTCGGATCAACACAGATACAATTCAGATACCAGGAACTCTCAACAGTCTGAAAATAATTTAAAGAAAAGTTTGGATGACAGGATTGGACGCACATGAGGAGACAGAGCCGTCTTGATAAACGGGGCCAATGCAGAACCATACTTTGATAGAGACATCAACAGCAAGAACAGCGAGAGTCTGTACTAACTTACAGTGTTAATCCACCATTCTTTAGTCTTGGGTGACAGAGACTCCAAGAACTGGTTGAAGCCAAGATTCCTCTGCGCATCGCTTCTGATGGTGAGCGAGGTTACGTAACCAGCAAAGATTGCAACTGACTTTTGCCAAAGAGCTTTCCCTGGAGGAAACCAGAGAGCTAATCCAGCAATGGCGCCTGTACTAATAACTATTGCGGTGTATACTCTTCCGGCTAGCAGGCAGGCCCTGATCATCGCGCGGAACAATGGCCCCTCGAGACTCTTATTTCCACCAGTCATGGCGTCAAGAGATGGAGCTGAATTGGAAGAGCATCACGACTACGCTGTCGATAGTTTGAAGGCTGTCTTACAATCGACATAACCTCTGACACACATCCCGACCGACTCGTCTAACTGAGATTCTGTGGCATCCTTGAGTTATCTGGCACGCAACGGTGATGATAGATAGGTTCGATACCTGTTAACTGGTTAACGATAGCCAGTTTGTACGGAAAGTTGTTCATGGTATGTGGCACAATTGAAAGATAATTCCACGTAGTAAAAGCTATTAATTATCTTGCTCCTTCTTAGTACAGGATCGTTATCGGTGTTCTCGTAATAGACTTACTAAGGCTATTGTTGAAACTTGTACAGAAATAGTCCGTCCTGTGCACTGACATAGCCTTGTTTCCAAGGTGGTGACTCATCCACGCCTAAATACTTCAAATCATGATCCCTCGGTCTCGGATTCTCGGCTGGGCACATGGGGCATTGGCACGTAACGTACGAAATCCGACGCAAAACGCATCAACACCATGTGATGTCACCTGATGATAATCAGCCAGATACCAAATCTGATTAGTTTGGTGAAAACCATACGATGCCGGCGACTTGCCACGGTCCACGGTCATATACTAATACGCTAGACCATTCTGAGCGTATGATCGCAAGCAATAAGGCAAATAATAGGTTTCATCACACTGCTCGGCAATATCACGGGGCAGAGCAGGCGCAAATCCGTTTAGTAATTCCACGGACCACAGGAGATCAATCAATCAGGCCTAGTTACTACTTATTTCCGAGTCGGCGTTCGGTCGTATCCATAAATGCACAATGTAAGTTTAAATTTACGTGCATGCATCTCATGATTATGCTGCATGTAGCTCTGCTAGCGGCTGCGGAATCAGACTCACCTGCGGCGAGCTGTTGCAATCAAAGCTTGCAGTACGTAACGTAAAGTTTTCCACACAACCACGTTGATCATGCCGCTTCTCGGCGCTGCCTAGTATCATAGCCCGCTTCAAGTTTACTAGTTTATGCGTTCTCAAAATTTCCTATTCAGATAAGTACCGTTCCAAGATTTCGAAAGCAGATCCAACATCAAGCTCACTGAGTTGTCCGCGTCTAAATCTTGCTCAGTCAGTACTGGATCATGTCGCCCAAATTTTCCAATACCAGAGAAGGGTATCAAGCTCTCAGTCAGGTCACTCATTTTGGTGACGAAGGTAATATAATTCGTTAATAGATCTCATCGAAATCATGCTGAAAAAATCAGATCTCAGGGATTTACCGCAGAGGACAAAACACAACCAGACGTTGTCCATATGGCTCCTTGCGATCACGATTTTATGCACTGTCTTAGATTTATCTATGATTTTCTGGGATCGATTTCTTCGAGTCGACCTTCGCTCCGCTTCAACTGCAGATGAGCTTGAGCTACTCCCGTTCCAGAACCCATATCTCAACCTCGAGATCCTCTATAAGGATCCTGATTTCAAGAGCTCTACCCACGATCCAATTATCAACAATGTACCAGTAATCACTCAAGTTTCTAATCAGGAGCACCAGAAAATTCTCCCTCCGTTTCAGCACTATAAGTCGACGGGAGAAACCAGAGCTCCCATATACGAGCGACGTCTAATAGTGACACACGAAGTATGCCATCGATAAAGATTCTATTCAACAGACTGATTTTGTCTAGCTCGAGAGCATCGCGCAGTTTCGTGTGCTTGATTTCGGCATGGAGAATTGCAGCCTTTCACTCACCGTCCCTCCAAGAAACACCACAGAAGATTTTCTCTATACGGATCTTGGTGATTCTGTAATTCTCGATGTCTGGTCTCTACCGGCTAGACATAAGTTGGACTTATACAATCTGTCGTGGTCGAAACTTCCTCGACCAAGGGTACACATTGGCCACATGAATGTGTCATATGGGAAGACACATCGTATGCCAAGCTTTCAGTGCAAGTCGCAGTCATACCAGACATTTGCGGTCTCCTGCTCTAGTCCTGGTTGTCTTGTGAATGTCGCAAGCAAGGATATAGGACCTTCAGGTGTGATCATTATGTCCACTATTGTTGACGGTGTTTTGACTAGCCTTACTTGCAGGGTTATACATGTATCAGAGTCAAACAATCTAACTAGGCGTGCAACTGAACTGCGCGGGCAGAGACTCCGTTTACTAGGTCTGACATGAACTTTGTAGCCTCAGAATATAGTAGAAAGAATGAAATATTCTGTGCAACGTCGGTGTGCACTGTGGAGTTACTAATGAACGCCTCTTGGACACAAATTGAGGGAGCTGCCAGTGGTGCATTGAAATAGCTGTATCATGATGGGTAAGTTTTTCGCGACAATTTGGATGGTGCGGCAGGCAGTGGCGATATTATTAGAGAAATCTTCCGAATAGTAGTTGTTTGTCCATCATGTGTAGTCTACTCGCAGTCCAACCCCATGATGAATTGATCACGCTAGCGAGCTTGCCAACCGCACTAGCGCTCATCATGATCAACGCTATTTTAGTAGTATCGCGCGGACTTCTTACTGGCAGCTGTAACACTCTGCCTTTAATTATAAACATGCCGGGTAAATATTCTATCAGACACTGCCCGTGACTGATTGATGCTGATGAGTTAATTAGGTCTTACTTAGCATCAGAGTGAGCAAAACGAGAACAAGTACGAGCGCACAGCCTATACTACGTCCGTTACTCAGACTGTTGATATAAATAGCGCAAGAGTAAGCTGGCGACTTGCCTGTAAGTACAGTATGGACTCGGATGCAACAACACATACTAGTAACAACTCCCGAACTCGGCTCTGGATTGTTGCTCTCTGCATTTTCATGAAGATCAGCATGATACTTTTCTTCTGCAGTATTCAAGTCGGTGAAAAAACGAACAAAGTCTATTGTGAGCGAGCCTGCGGCTAAAATGTGAACCATGCATTGATTTTCCACCACAGCGTTTGTTGGCGACGATTTTCCTCGACTGTTGCCCCTAGCACAGGCTGATCCAGTCCTGATGGCCTTCGAGGATTCGGTACATTATCAGATAGACACTGAAGATGGGAGGGCGGAGTGGGCCAGCCTAATGCCGGGTAACGGGCTTGTTTATCTTGGGGAGCAGCCTGGTCGCCCATTCTCGATCTCAATGTTCCACCAATTGCGTTGCCTCGATATCATACGAGAGGATATTGTTGGAGCAGACAGCAATGCAGCTCTGAGCCGTCACTGCCTCAACTACTTGCGTCAGATGATAATGTGTCGCAGTGATGCTCAGCTGGAAAACATACTATTAGCAAGCAGGGAAGATTCATTACAACCGTTTTTCGTGCGACCCGGGACATATGTGTGTAATAATTGGAATTCTGTATTGGAGGAAGTGAAGAAGAACCAGGCTGGAGCTGAGCGCTGAGCTTACACTGTGATAGTATATAGTACGAGTTTCGTTACGACGTCACCTTACATAGTACAAGTAGGACTCCGGACTCAACGCACATAGAATTTGAAGACCCCGTAGGCGCTCTTGACAGTTGTGTAAGTAGTGAGAACAAGAAAAACGTCTGCTTGGAGACAAGCAGAGAGTTTTTTGGGGGTGGAAGGCCCGAAGGGGCAACCCGGCCCAGATAGTGATCCTGACCTGTGCAAAGGTGAGCTGCGATTCCCACATTAGTAGGAGTGAATGCGACGCAGTGAAGTGAACCTCGGATCCCAGATTGTAGGGGCCGCAAGGTGACACATTGAAGTGGGGAAGAGGAGATAGCTAGTAATAAGAAGGCATCCGCGTGAGCATAAGCGTAGGCATCTGTGTCAGTACTGCGTCAATGCGGACGTCCGCATCCACGAAAGTGCGGAAATCCACATGCGCACGGCAGCAGGTGCTGGTAAGGACGATACTCTTGCTTGCCACTAGCAGAAGGTGTACTCATAGCCGGCTTCCCCACCGAACTTGCATGCGGATGCATAAAAGGATCTGAGCCATCAACGCATCAAAGCTCACCGAAGTCTGGCGCAGAAGATAGATAGAAATCAGAAAAGCAGCAGGGCGATGCTGGAGCGCGCTGTGTGGTAAGCGGAGAAGATTCAGAAGAATGTACTGTAGTAAACATTAGGTCAGCCTAAGATGACGAAGAGAAAAAAAAGCGGAGAAGAGAAGCCACGTGCTGCACAGCCGCACGAAGTCTCGTACGGTACCAGACGGTATCTCGCTTTTGGGGTAGAATTCCAAAATATCTACAAAAGGTTAACCTGGCTAACCCCGTTCTAACCCAACCCAGCAAGGTAGTAACTACAGAAAATAGCAAGGACAACAAACAAATGAGTAAAGTAGCGCGCACAGGCCTTGCCCCATTCATGCAGTAGTTATTTTCAGTACTAAGCATGGACAGGATCAAGACGGGATCGTTTTCGGTATTGCCGTCGATCCGCCGCTTGTCAGTGAGTTCTGAAATGCCATCATGTATCCACATCTACGGATCTACCGGTCTTCATAGCTTTGCCGTGGGTCGCATACTAGTCTTATCAGGGAGATGACTTCTGCCGTAAGATTTTATAACTATCGCTGGGTTTCTTAGTGCACCAGCTGAAGCGCTGATCCTGCTACAACCAACTTACAGTGTCCCTTTCCGTGTTCCTCATGGCGTCCACCGAACTTGCTATGCAGCGTGCGCTGTATGTTGGGAATACCATTGTCGCAAATTTCCTAAGTCGGTTGTAATCAGGTACCGTTTACATCGTGTTACAATGACGATTACAAACCATGTTGTAAGATTGATGGCGGGGTTTCAAGCGGTTGCAATACGCATGCAAGATGATTGATATTTGTCTCGATTCTCGAATTCCCCCCCTCGCAGCATTTTGAGTGTTCTCTCCTATTCTTTCCATCCAAATCTCTCCCAGCACACAAACCATCCACAAAATGGGCCCTGAGAGGACAAGATATTGCGACTTGTGTCAACAGGACATCAAACCTCGTGGCTACACCACCCACCGCAAGGCTTGCGAGAAGAAAGCCGAAAAACAACGGCAGAATCAACATTTCGTTGATTCTATTCGAAGAGACACAGGTACGCACAATTTCTCGTTGTTTACAACGTCTAATTTTGCTAGCGGGTCCTTCGAATCTGCAACGGACGATGGGAGATCACATTGATACAGTGTCGAGACAGGGAGGTAAGTGCCTGTTAGTCTGATTTTAAATTGATACATTCAAGTTGAAACAGGGCAATGCAATACCTCACCTGCAGGTACTTGGAATGATCTGGATGGTGCGGAATACCAAGGTGAGCTCAAATTATGTGCTTTTACATTCATTATCGAAACTTTACTAGATCTTCCCTCGTTTCTCGATGCCGATGTCCCTGAACGCGTGGAACCCATGTTCCAGGTCGATGACATCAAGCTCGAGCACCATCCTAGCAGCGGGATCACACCAGAAGTACACGGCTTCAACGATTTCAAACGCCGTCCACCAACGTCTTCTGCCCCACCTCATAAACGTCCCTGGGCTCCATTTAAGTCACGCTTGGAGTTCGAGATAGCCGAACTTGCTCTGGAGGCCTGTCTCAACAATGATCAAACTGATCGTCTCATTACGTTGTGTAACAGGTGCGCTTCTCAATCGGAAAAATTTACGTTCAAGAACCACAAAGACATCCGCGAAAGGTGGGAAGCCGTCTCCCATCGCACTACTGGGGTTTTTTTCCTTCGTTCATTCTGATATTCATTGTCTAACAACTAAGTTTAGTTTACTCATGATGTAATATCTGTACCATACGATGATTCAATTCGACAATTCGAGCTATACTACCGGGATCTCTGGGAGTGGGCGGCAGATCTTCTCCGTGATCCTCGCTTGTTCCCACACATGGTTTTTGATGCGCAGCGCTTCTCGAAATTTGATGGCAAGACCTTCGTACGTTTCATAGACGAACCTTTCACTGCCGAAACCTTTTGGAATGTTCAAGTAGGTACTTAATCTCACTGTCAATTTTGATCGCCTTACTTTGCTTTGTAGTCACAGCTACCACCGGGCGGCAAGCCCTTAGCTTTCATTTTGTATGCGGACAAGACAAGGTTGTCGTCATTTGGTACCGCAAGAGGGTATCCTGTTGTTGCACGTCTAGCAAATCTCCCCGCGAACATTCGTAACGGACAGGGTGTGGGTAGCGGCTATGTAGTTGGATGGCTTCCGATTGTATGACACAGTAATATTGATATATCTGCGGTTGGGACTTATACTCTGACGCAGGTGAAGGAGGACAGAGACCAAGCTGGCAAGCCCAGCTGGGTCAACTTCAAGAATGCCGTTTGGCATGAATCATTCTCAAAGATCCTATCTTCGCTCGCATCAAAGTCTCATACTGGACAGTGGTTTGATTGCCCTGACAACGTTCCGCGGTGGTTCTTTCCTATTATCCTAATTTTATCTGCAGACTACGAGGAACAGTGAGTAATATCACACTTCGATGTTAATCTGAATCGCTAATGAATATCATTAACTATTTAAGATGTATTATGTCGCTAATCCGAGGGATAAAATGCCTTTGGCCATGTCCAGTGTGTCTCGTTCCCCACGACGAGCTTTTGAATACATTAAAGTGTTATCCTCCTCGAACGGCTACCCAGTCGCAGGAAGTGGTGAAGGCTGCACGAGCTGAGGCGACTGCTGAGGAGAAAGAGGAGAAACTGAAAGAGTATGGCCTTCGTGACATCATGGTAATGTTTTCTCTGTTGTAAGTTCGTTCTAACTAATCAAAGCTACAGAATGCCTTTGCGGCCATGATGCATACTGATGTACATGATGCGTTGTCATGGGACCGACTCCACTTCAATGGTGGTCTGTATCGTGACCACCTCTGGGCCGAACTTCAGAAAATCGTTGTCGGTTTGGGACGAGTGAAAGTAGCACAAATGGACAAAAAGTCAGTTTGTGACTCAAGCGCTGTAACATTGTTTTGAATTGACCCATTTAACTACTAGCTACGAAGCATTCCCGCGCTGGCGAAACTTGAAGCACTTAGCTCACGTTATGAGCATCTCTTTCGCTGATGGCAGTGTCTACGAGGACATATCAAAGGTGTGTTTTTGATTTAAACTATTACTTCATTGCCATTGACACTCTTTCAGATGGTGGTATATGCTGCGCACGCGATTTTGACGGAGGACGACAGTCCACTCGGCTATCTCCTACTCCGTTGCATTCGGCACTTTCTCGAAGTTGACGCATATGCGGCGCTTGAAGTTCACACCACTGAGACTATCAGTGCCGGCCGACATGCAGTGCAGGCATTCTCGACTTATCTTCAGGTGTGTCTACCTCAGTTCACTCAGACAATTATCCACTGATTAAGCCTATGATAGCAATATATAGAGAAAAGCGCTGATGAGAGCGACAAAAACTGGAACTTCCCCAAACTGCACATGAGTGTGCACATTTTTGACAATATCGAAGCAAAAGGTGCGACACGTAACTACAATACAAAGCCGAATGAAAGGATGCATGGGTCGCTGAAAGACTCGTACTTATTGCGCACTAATTTCAGGGATGTGGCGCCTCAGGTGACGTTCTTTTCACTCTAACTATCATTTTGATACCAATTTCATTGCAGATACTCCGCATAAACCATTGGCAAGTGGTTGCGGAGAGCATTCGCCGCCACATATCAGACCTAGACGAGTATGAGTCCGGAGGCAGCGAAGATTCGGGTGACCTGGAGGATTTAGGAGATGTGGATGATCTGGTCTCGCCGGATGCAAATGCGCCTCATGTAAGACTTGGGTCGAGGCAAGCTGCGCAGACCTTTGAGTTGATCGAGGATGCTCATAAGGAGGATGCCGCGTTCACTAATTTTCGGGTCAAGCTCAATAATTTCTTGACTGACTTTCTTCAAGTTATTCGGCTCCCTTTACCAGGTGGAAAGCGGGTACAATTCAAAGCAAGTGATAAGGTTGGTCATGTTCAGTTCGGCTCTATGTTTCACTACACTAATATCGTTAAACAGATCACTGAGTGCCGTTTTTTGAAGGTTAACTACGAGTCCTTGGTGGATTGGCGACTACACACCGACTACCTTAGATGCAGTCCCAAGTTTTTCAATGCTGCGCGTTTTGATTGTGTTTTCATTCAGACAGAAGCCAAAGTGATATTTGGTCGCCTTCTCTTTCTGTTTGAATGTATAGTTGGGGATATCACGCTCTCTCTAGCTCTAATCCATCCTTTTGACGCTCCCACTGGTGTACGGCTCCGAAAGGACAAACACCTCAATATCTATCGTGTTCGAGCAAGACCCCGAGCGCAAGCCGAGTTTTTCTCAGTGAGGTCAATCATTCGCGGAGCTCTCCTCGTGCCGGATGGCAGTACCGATTACCTTGTCGTCGACACTGTCGACTCTGACATGTTCATTCGTGTAAAGGAGCTACATCTTGCAGCAGGGCATCCAATACGCATTTGATTGTATCCCTTCAAGTCGGCTTCCTCTCTCTATGCCTGGTAAGCCTCTCATTTTCTTCGCTCGTTGTCTCACTAATGGTCTAATTATACTAGGCTATCTTCATGCAGTAAGTCGTCGATTTTGTTGCAGCCCTTGGCTGCCCCTCAACTGTTCTGAAGGCCTTGCAGTACCGACAGAGTATGACCGCAACGACAAAGAACCTATTAGCGGCAGCCGCTCCCGGTGCTTCTGAGCAAGGTTTCCATCCTGTGCAAGGTCAACAACAGTTTGCTGGTCCCCAGAACAATCGAATCGGCCAGAACTTGGCTCAAGCCAAACCTATGGGCGGCATGGCGCCACCTGCGTCACCAGCTATGGGTGGTCCCATGAAAGATCAGAAGGATGTCAAACCCATCATGATCAATAACCCTTCAGGTATACCAGAAGGGTCACCTCACAACGCTCCTGCTGCTCCAGGCCACCCGACTCCCAATACCATCAACTCAAGTATCATGCAGTCTCCTGCTCCGAACGGGACACCTTCAGTACCTCCGGCTTCGAATCCCCCGGGCGTTGGCAACCACAACAGATTCAGCAGCAATTCGGTCTTACCTCCACCCAGCGTGTCCCTCCCTCTGCCCCGTCTTTTCATGACCCTCAGTCCAACCCTCCTATCATACCACCCAACTTCCCCTCCATGCCTATGAATACCCCACAAATGAAACCGGGCAATTCGATCCCAGTCTATCTGATCTACCAACTCACCTCATACAGACTTCGTGCAATCTATGACAGCAGCATTGGAACAGCGTGTTTCAGATGTCGCGTTGTTTGTGACCTCTGTTATAATGTTTTTTACGTCTTGATCTGACCTTGCTTGTCATAGACCTCTAACGCCGCCATGAATGCTGCAATTGCTTTAACTCCAATAGGTTCCTTGGCATTGACGTGCCGATGTGTGAGAGAGAATGACTAGGGTAGGTCGCTCTTCCATCAACATGTGGCCTTCAGTCGTGTTTTTGTTTACGTGCCTCTCATTAGTTCACTGGTATTATTACGCGCAAGACTGAATCAATGTCGTCACTCGCAGTAATGTTACGTCTAGTATACACGAGGTAAGCAGTACATCTCATCCTATATATTAGGGTGACATTCACACTGTTTTCTCCGTCACCTTACCATCGAGCATCTAGAACATGTCTCATCTCTCAGCGCGGGTGTCAGATGATGATTCAGATAGCGACTGGGACGAAGGCAATACGGACCAGGTCTCGAATAACATCCCAGGGCCTAATGCCTCCAAGGGAGAGTTAATGGAAGTATGTAGCCACCGTCTTCATCGCATAACGCTGTCTAACGTACACTCTCCTCAATACAGGCACTCAAAGCACTGCAGCTTGAGGTTCAGCAGCTGCGTGCAGACAATCGTGCCCTTAAGGAGAAAAATAAGGTTCTGGTTTCCGAGAAGCCTAAACGGAAACGGCGTGTAGAAGCACCGGATGCCCTCGTCGCCCATGAGCAAACTATCTCGTTGTATGCCCGCAAATATGGCATGACAGTGGAGATGTTCCCAGACAGCGAGCTTCTCATCAAGAAGCGCCCCGATTCACCTACACCTTTTAATAGTGCTGATCGTTACAAGACGTCGGCAACTCAAGAGTCTGCTTTCTTAGATGAACTCTATGCACATTTCCCTGAACGCATCCATGAAACGGTAATGGGTAGCGAGTACTTCAAAGACCTCGTATGTCAATTTTGCTTTTCATTCTAGCCACTACCTAATGTATTTGGTTGTTACAGGTAAATAAGTGCATCGCCGATGCTCGTTCTAACGAAATCAAGAAATTGCGTGGCGTTGCTGGAGACATATTCGAGCTTCCGGGAAAATACTTTGCCAATGCCAGTTATGACAGAGCTGCGATTGTCGACATTCAGAAGATGTTTGGAGTTTCCGGCAAGACTCAGACTTACAAGATTTTTCCGCCTCTCTTGTTCCCAAGTCTCCAAGAAGACACAACCCTCAAGACCGTTTTCGGCAACTGGACACTTTTTGCAAAGGTGCGCTATCATTCTCTCATAATTGTCCTGCTGCTCACTAGTACTCTACTGATACTGGCATATCTAGATCCTGAGGGCCTCACTCTATGGCGTCACCTCGCTTCATCAAGAGCCTTGTGGTGGATCGAAGACTAACGCTCGGAAGTGGAGTTTGCAACAAGTCACACCAGGGTCCATTGCATGGGCTGCGGTTATTGTAAGTCATTTTGATGACATTGAATCGTTCTACTACTCATACACTACTGCAACACAGGTCATTTTTCTGCTCTCGCCAGACACAGAGTTTCCAGGTTCGGGAGTTGGCAAGTCGTCAACTATCAACTACAAGGACCTCTTCTTTCAATACAAGAAGTTGCTAATTACGAAGTGGGAGACAAAACGTATCAAAACCATCGTGACTAACATCAATCGCTACGTTTTCGGTGCTGCAAAGTTGTCTACATCGATGGATCCTGCTGGTGCCGAAGATTTTTCAGAGGAGATCAACCGCGCCATGCTAGCACTTGACATGGACACTGATAGCGAAGAAGACACTCCAGTGACTCCACCGGTCTTGTCGGCACTCTCAGTATTACCCTCGGCAATATCAGCCTTACCAGCTCCTTCATTGGCGCCTGGACCTGAAGGTTCAAATCTCGTCACTCAGCCAGTCACACATCCAGACGAATCAGTATCTAGGGCTGTCATTCGCGCTAATGATTCGAATACAAGTGTCAATGCAGTAGCTAACAATGCAGATGAAGCTGATGATGATAGGACGGAATCGGGTGGAGGACAAGCAAAGGCCAAGAATACTAGGGGGAGGAAGGTTGTAGCGACGCAGGGTCCTACTCGTCGTGGACGTTCTCGTAAAGTCTAAGTGATATAATACATGATAGCTAGCTAATACCCTTGCTGTTCTCTGTCAAATCACTCAGCGTCAATACACATCTTGTCATTCTGCAGCTCAAAAGAGCGGGTGGACTGATCTTGGAGCTGTTCGGACTGCTAACCATTCCTAGTCTCAATGGCAAACAAAATTGTCGCCAAACAAGAGTCTTCGCAATAGAAGGTTTGTGCGGGTAGTGTGGCGTGCCGCCTGACACACACACGAGGCCTTGCCACCAGAGGCGAGCCATGACAGTGCAAGATATTGGTGAAACAATAAGGCTAGTCTCCATGAACCATTTCGCGGTTGCTGCATGGATACAAATAGAGTCAGCCTTAAGTGCAATAGGATTGATGTGGATACCTCACCCTGGACAATACGTTCAGCTGATTCCTTTTCGCAAGTGGACCCAGGCGACCCTTCTCCTGTGAGACCAACTCTGGGACCTTGGCGCAGATTGCATCCAGATAACAGAGCGCTGTCTGTAGAACGCTGCCTGACGTGCGAGAACAACGAAGAACCTCGTGAACAAACCCTTTCATGGGCATAACGTTGCAATGCGGGGGCTGATTGCTCGAACCAAACGTCAGGGGGGTGGGCATGGGAGATGGTTGTGTCTGAATCATCAGAGATTGTAATATAGCCAGGAGAGGGGAGCTGAGTAAAGTTTGAACGTACCAACTAAACCAGATACATATTTTGATTTCTGGGAGTCGTCCGCCGACATTCTTGGGGATAAAATTGAGGAATCCGAGTCACAGATTATCCTACAGCTGCTTGATCTGAATCGCGGGTAAGTGATGCTTACATAACAATCATTTATTATTCATTGTAAAGTTTTCACACCGGTTTACATCTCTTACAACAACCACATTGTCAGTGTGACTGTAACGTCGCTTAGACTTAGACTTGTCGTCGCTCTGCTCGGACTTTCCGTCGATTCCTCTCTTGACTGAATCCCTCTTCCCCTCCATTAATAACCTCCACACAAGTCAATGTTACCAGTGATTTGACGTCGAGCACATGGCAAACGGTGTGCAGTCTTTTTTTGGGGCGACAATTATTGAAAAGTTCTCATTGTCTAGTGACCTTATGCCTTTCGTTGGTCAATGGTACAGACATTCTGAACCATCCATTGACAGTGTGTCCAACGAATAATCGCAGTTACAGGTCAGTCTTTTTATTATATTGATACTTGATACTTTTCGCTAATGTTTTAATGCCAACCCAGACTGCACCGTCGTGGCCCAATTCCCAATGGTGTCCGCGCTACTACTGGTATGTAGAATATCTAATTTGGTGTGCTGAAGCTTATTACTGTCAAGGTCTTCTCACATCGCACAGCGACCACCAAACCGTTACCCTTCCCATGCCACACCCCACCCACACGCAAGGCGCCACTCCCTAGACCACTGCCAAATGCCTGCGGGATACCCATAGCGCCCAACCAGCATGCCACCTCTCGGTTCCACCCAAGCGCCCTTTACCCATGTCAGGCCCCATCATCGATCGCCATTTGGCAGCGGCTAGCACACTTTGCTTGGTGGTCTCTTGTTCGTCACCAAATATCTCCCGCACAAGGGCAGGGTTGGACCGGATGATGTATGGCGACCTATTAGATGAAGGGAGAAGGTTAGTGAGAGGTATCGGCAGCAACAGAAGGATCCAGAAATGATGGACAAGCGCCCCATTCATTCAAGGGAAAGATGCAGGGTATATTAGGGAGTGGGGGATTTGGCTTCAGAGGGTTTCCATTGAGTATCCGCTCATACTTGTCTTGTAATTATGGTAGAATATGACAATTCAAGATCTCTATTAAAATATCAAAACCAAGATTTCAGGTCTTCATTTCGCATTACAAGCTGCTACTTGACATTGCAATCGATTTCAACGCCATGCGGCTTTCCAGCCAAATCACTCATTACAATGACTAAGATTGATTGCCACGTGTTGCAACGGCAATTGCCATCGTAATTGCAACCGTCGTTACAGTGTGATTGCAATCGTGACTCTATTATTGAAAGGACTTTCAATCTACGCTCGGTCTTTGAATATTGAAATGCGTGACAAGGCACTTAAACCCAAATTAGGAATTTGCGACAATTTCCGCAGTCGTTTATGGTGACTTTCTATCTATCAGTAATAGTTTCTTGTTGACAGCTTACACTCCGGGCGCAGGAGGAAATTTATTCCTATATGCCTACTCTACTTACCTGCTTATGACCTCGATCAAGCAGGTGCAGCGCAGGAGATTTTACATAGGTTTCGGAGGCCTTCTCTTGCTTCTTTTGACAATCGCCCTTGCAAGTAATAATGCCATCTGCGAACTAATGTGGATAGAACAGCAAAACTACCCTGGTGGCCCATCTGCATATCTCGCTGCAAATTTGGCCGCTTGGTACAATGTCTTTGGCACAGCGGCAGACTGCGCCGCAAATATTCTGACAGACGGACTTATGGTGAGTTTACAACATATGATCATCGAGTTCTGATGCTCATATATACATCTCGAAAGCTTTATCGTTGTTACATTATTTGGGGGTCGAGCGTGTCAATAATTGTCATACCTGCAATTATATACTTGGGATCTACCGGTACGTGCTTTGCTATCAATCCTACACCAAACTAATCATTGCTTTGTATAGCTATGGCGGTCATGATGGTGGTTGAGAGTGCCATGCCGATGTCAGATATATGGCAGGGTCTTGCAGCACGATCCGGCATCTCATGGGTTGCGTTAACCGTCAGCTTTAACATTATTGTTACTGCGTTGATCATTTCCCGGCTGCTATTCTTTCATCGCAGAGTACAATCTGTTCTCACCGATCAGCAGAGGAGTACTTACACGGGCACTGTGGCGATTTTGGTTGAGTCTGCCCTCCCTTTCACAGTTCTGGGGATCGCCTACCTTGCCACCTATATCCAAGGTGTTCCAAGTGCGACAGCGGTAGGAATAGTCTGGGGAACCTTTGTGGTGCGTTCACATACACTACTACGATGAGCTGTCCCACACTGACGATTTACTAGGTTTTGACACCCCAACTCATCATTTTGAGGGTCGCTTCAGGGGTTGCATGGTCAAGAGACACGGCCTCTAACATCTCTCTAACAACTCTGCATGCAACTTCTCCTCACAACTCGTCTTCTAGCAGCAGTAGTATGAACTGTAAGGATCCGTAATAGTAGGGCTCGGGCATGGTACCACGTCCACATCCGAATTATTTAGCTTTTGAATCACAATATTTTCTGCCTGTCTCAAAATTATCGATATCATTAGTATTCCCACACTTGCTAGTTTCATCGTCAACGGGCATGTTTCATACTGCACGTCTGACGATGAAATTACGTCCTCACACTGATGCATCTGTGAGGCTGTGGAGATGACCATGGGTAACATCCAAACGGACATTAGTTGTAATGAAAAAGCTGTAGCTCAGAACCGCATGGTGGTAAGAAGGAATGATTATCTTCATTCACGTAACTTAGCTGGCCAAAACTACGCCTCGGCGAACATCGGGTGAGGTCGCACCTCGGAGGTGTAAGCGAGGTATTACATAATAATTTATCACAAACGTTCAAGTTGATAGTCACCCAAATAACTTGAAGCTGTGATACAAAATCACTCGGGCCCCAGGATCGATGCAACCTTCAAGACTTCAAATTTAAGCTTCACACATCACTGCCTCACTACTGATTTGGAAGGCAAAATGGAAGTGGGCAGTGATAACAACCGCCTCATTGTGTCGTACATACTATGATTTCGAAACTAGCTCAAAATAACTAATGCTGTAGTGCTAATATTAATGTGGCGATCAATCTTCTGATGGACCATGTTACTGGGCGCGCAGACTATACTGGTTAATATCATGGATAGACATTAATAATTATCTATAATTCGGCGAACATACCCGCGGCGCAGCGTGGATATAAATCTCTGAAAGATACCCCTATTTCCGCCATTACCCATTTCCCATTGTCATTGTAACATGGTTTCTAAAATTCTCATCATCCTCTCAATATTTGTGGTCTACATAATCGCTGCACCACAGTTGACTCATCGGAATGTAGGGGGAGGTAAGTGCAGTGATTAGGATCAAATTAAAGTTGTCGTTTCTATATTCAACAAATACTACTTTAGATGATTATGCCGCCATTGGAGCTGAGGAGCTAGCAACCGAGCCTGAATGGCTTACTCCTGCTGGTGCTCTTAAGTGAGCCTGGGGAGTATGGAAATTGGGAGGAAGGAAGTTACCAAATCGTAGATCGTTGATGTCGATGGACTCCGAATCATGCATAGTTCGTCTCGGTGTGCTTTCATAGCAGAAAGGAATGTAATAGGTCCCGAAAAGAGGACAGATCTTACATAATTGGCTGACTAATAGCTAGTCAGCCAATCGTTTATCGTTTATCGACAATTTATATTTAGACTTACTTATGTTTGCAGCCACCGCACACCTTATAATCTGCACAAGGGCCATGCATGTATTGCATAGCCAACATAGCCCCGCTGCAGATTTGAATAGCCTATCCCAAAATATCTTCTAGGCCAAACACGAGTCTGTTCGCATGCGTGCTTGCGACCCCGAATGCCTTTATAATAACTATCAGTAGTTTGCCATTGAAGTGATATCCATTCCACTGATTCAAGCTATACCCAACAATCGACTTGAACGTTCTGTCTACCTGATTATGATGGTATCCCTCACTATCGTATCTATCGCGCTCACTAGCATCATATTCAAGTCAATACTCTCGAGGGAAAACTTGAACATTCAAACACGCACCCGAAGGCGGCAGGAAAATTTTAGTCAGTAGACTTTCTGTCCAAGATCAGGGTGATTTTAAATTATGTTTTCAGCTTTCATGGGCGACGACTTTCCTGAGTCCCTAGTACCTGACGCGGGCAAAGTGAGATTCGTGGTGGAGGAAAGCGTACGATTTGCGCTAGACCTTCCAGAGTCCAAGACGGAATGGCTTTCTACTTCTCCCCCGGGGACCGGACATGTAGTTCTGGGTGTGGAGAATCGGTCTTTCTTCGTAGCCATGTTCCATCAGCTTCACTGTCTCAGGCTCTTCCGAGTGGCTCTCGCGGGTCCAAACTTTGATCAAGAGCATACTCATCACTGTCTCAATTATCTAAGACAATGGATACTGTGCCAAGCAGATCTAACACTGGAGGCAGGAGATTTTACAACGCGAGACTTCGAACAACACCGCGTTGGTGCTACACACGTCTGCAGAGACTGGGGTGAGCTATATGACAGTGTTGCCATCAATTGGAAAGACCGGCAACATGGAAATCATACAGCAGTAAGTCTCAGCGACTGTTAGTATGATCAAATCAACTAACTTTTTCCCGGATAAGTGAGTGGACGAATTCCACACCTTTTAGTAGTAGAACTTGTAGTAGCGTGGGACACCCATCCTCAATTCATGGTTATTCATTTCAGATTTATTCGTGTCCCATAATTATACTTGATACTTACAAACACTGCGTGAAGCTTGCTTTGAGCCGGACAATTTGGTTGCCTGGTCTCCAATAATTTCGAGTATCCAACCACAGAAACGTGTGATAAACTCTTTCTGCAGAGAAAGAGACGTTCAGAGCACAAACAGCGCTCACTAACTCAGTTCCAGAGTACACGATGCGAGCCGTTTGGACGAAGTAGCATGCGGACGGCATTATCCCATTCCATGGAATGTAGTGGGACTGGTCTTCAATAAACCGAGAATGTCAATGCAGTCTGATAAGCAAGCAATACAGAGCTCAACTTCCTCTCCTCGGCAGGAGTGGCCCATGACTTTGAAGTACTAAGATTAGAGGTTGCGTGATATAGGTGGGAAAGTTGCCAGAAGCTTCGTTCAGGTCAGATCAAACGCACCACTGCTGGAATCTGTCGTGAAGAGTAGCAGTAAGATTAAGAGACACAAATCAATTGGAATGATCGGAGGGACGGACAAATAGTGAAGCCCGATAGAGCTGCATCCGCCTGCTGCTGGGAGTGCAAGTGTCAGTGCCGATGCTTACTTTTTTTGCACACAACGTTTCTGAAACTGCTGCAATCAATTTAAATTAGCTGCAAAAAGTTGTCTACATCAAGGTTCTGTGTGATTGCGCAGATTACTTCTGAGGACGGGCACAACACACAAGTCAGCACTGATGCCACTACATTTTCACCTAGCCTCTTACCTATCATGGGGCATGCGCCTCTTTTAGCCAGAATACAAACGTGTTCGTCGCGGAACTTGGACACACTGACCGTGGTGAGACATTATACAAGATTGTTAAACCTGTTGGGATCTGTTTTCTATCGCAGACATTTGTTGGTCGATTCCGCGAGGCTTGTATATGCTGTGAGCATCTATTGAGCGTTTGCTAGACGATTGCGTCGTGCGTCGTGCGTCATGCGGGAAACATAACCTCCAAAAGCTTTGAGTCATCACCACATTGTGCGACGTCAGACATTAATCGCCTGGAAGAGATCAGTGAATAATTGACCTGCTAGCTGACAAAGTAAGATTTATATCAACGAAGGTAAACAACGCACTCATGAGGCATCGAGTTAGCAGAGCTCAACTAGGTTCATGGGCGTGTTGAAATCTGTGCAGACTAGGAACACACCATTTCTATCAAAAGCGTGCCCACACGAACTTTCTTGTTCAAGTGCGTGATCACTCGCCGACCACGTGCAGCAGGCTCCAAGCACTGACAGCTTGCCTCTTGGTGACGTTTCTCAGTACATTTATAGTGATTCAAGCAAAACTGACCCATGCATATTACGCTGCCAGCAGCCCCGGCCTCGAAAATGGAGTTGGGGATCCAAGCTGAGGATGAGTTGAGCACAGCGCGATACTGAAACTAACCGTTCCATCCCCGTCACAGATGACGAATTTGGCTCAGAGGCTGCAATGGTACGCTTATTTCCACCGGTCATGACGTCAAGAAGATGGAGCTGGATTGGAAGACATCACGACTACGCTGTTGATAGTTTGAAGGCTATCTTACAGTCGACATAACCTCCGACACATATCCCGACCGACTCGTCCAACCGAGATTCTGAGCATCCTTGAGCTATGTGACAAGCAACGATGATGGTAGATAGGGATGATACCTGTTAACTGGTTAATGATAATCAGCTTGCACGGAAAGTTGTTGATCGGTGTTCTCACAATAGACTGAGAACCCTCGGGCACACGGACACTAGTACATACCAAATCTGGCATCAAGTTTCGACATCATCAAAGCACCACGCAAATATCGCATGATAGTGAAACAGTCGGATACCACATCCAAGATCTGATTGGTCCAGTAAATCATTGAGTCCGAGAGTATGATTGAAAGCGATAAGGCAGACAACAGGCTGCAGAACTTTATCAATGATGTCAAGCCTCCGAGTCAGAGATGCAATCTCTGGCTGGAGTAAGCAGGGACTCGTAGGTTGTCCAATGCAGAAACTGTAGTGAGTAAATCAACTGCTCGCTGCTTTGGGCTTGTGGTTGTCGTGTTGTAGTCCGCAAGAGATCCAGTTGTGAGCAACACAAAATAATGATTGTATTGAGTCGGGTCGCAGCAACTTGAAGGACAAATAACATGATGGGCTGTGCATAGTTCGGTGAGACTCGGAATAGACATGTCGACATAAATCAAACGTGAATGCGTGGTCCAGCTTCATCTGCGCTAGTAGGCTTGCTGCGACTTCGATGACACGACCTTGTGGTGGTTGGGCTGGTCTGAGCGTAGCTCGGAGTGGACAACTGGTCGCGAATTCGGACGTGCCACGAATGGAAAGGGCAGGAAGTTGGAACATATGCTTAATGATCCGAAAACCGGAATTTGTATTGCTTCTAGACGCTTGTATGTACTTGAATGCAGATGATTAAAACCAATGTCTTTGAACAGAATACTAAGGGAGAGGTGAGTGAGAGCAAAATAACGAAGTCCGGAACGAGAAAGAGCGGAAGGGAGTTCGAGCGAGTCGTCGAGGAGATGGGTGGCGAGAAAAGAGCCTGCTGCCTGGACAAGTGGTGCCGGAAACTTCCGCAGGCTCCGTTTCCTTGCTAATGCCATCATGTCACGGTTATCTATGGATCTACCGGTCTTTTCAGCTTCGCCGTGGGGGCAACCCCATCATCTAGTATGTACTACTAGTGGCAATTGATTAGAGCGATCACCGGTCTAGCAATTGATGACCATCAGCCTGGGTTCTGTCCGAGTGAGTCAGACATGTGTTCGGCCATGATCCTATAACTATCGTTATTTTATATATTAGTGCGGCTGCAGAACGCTGATAGCCAGTGATAGTCCTACAACCAACCTAGTGACAGTGCCCCTTTCTGTGTCCCTCATGGCGTCCACCGAACTCGCTACGGAGCGTGCTCTGTATGTTGGGAATATGATTTCCACAGCTGTTTATGGTGAGCTTCTATCATATGAGTAATAGTCTCTTATTGACAGCGGACACCTCGTACTCCCCGGGCAAAGGAGGAAATTTGTTCCTATATGCCTACTCTACCTACCTGCTTATGACCTCAAGCAAGCAAGTGCAGCACAAAATATTCTACATATATTTTGGAGGCTTTCTTTTGCTTCTTTTGACAATCAGTGTCGCAGGTAATATCGCCTTCTGCGAACTGATGTGGATAGAAAGGCGAAACAACCCTGGTGGCCCCCCCGCATTTTTTGCTGCAAATATGGCCGCTTGGTACAATGCCTTTGCCACAGCGGCAATGTGTCTCGCAAATATGATGACAGATGGACTCTTGGTGAGTTTACAACATATATTGTTCTTGAGCTCGGCACTCCGATGCTCATATGTATACATCTTGAAAGCTTTACCGCTGTTACATCATTTGGGGGTCAAGATTACCAGTAATTGTCATCCCTGGAATTATCTACCTAGGATCTGCCAGTACGTGCTGTGCTGTACGTCTTGCGCCAAACTAACCATTGCTCTGTGCAGCTATGGCTGTCACTGATGGTGATTGAGAGTGCCATGCCCATGTCGAATCTATGGCGAGGCCTTCCCGCACAATTCGCCATTTCATGGATTGCGCTAACTGTCAGCTTTAACATCACCGTGACTGCATTGATCATTTCCCGGCTGCTATACTTTTATCGTAGAGTGCGATCTTTTCTTAACGATGAACAGAGGAATATTTACACGGGCATTGTGGCAATTTTGGTGGAGTCTACCCTCCCTTTCACAATTCTGGGAATCATCTCCCTTGCCACCTATATCCAAGGTGCCCCATGTGCGATGGGGATAGAAATAATCTGGGCAACCTTCATGGTACGTTCGCTTGCACTACTACAATGAGCTGTCCCGCACTGACGATTTACTAGGTTTTGACACCCCAGCTCATTATTTTAAGGGTTGCTTCAGGCGTTGCATGGTCAAAAGACACAGCATGTAACATCACTCAACATGCAACTTTCCCTCAGGACCCTCACAACTCATTCTAGCAGCAGTTACCATTAGTATGTACAGTAAGAATCCGTAATAGTAGGGCTCAGGCATATGGTGCTACGTCCCCGTCCAAAGATTCATCATTCGAATCACATTGTTTGCAAGATATGTTCCACTTGTTTGACTTTGTCGTTTAATGGTATTACTCACACTTACTTAATTACTACTAGTTTAGCGAATTAAAAAACGCTCGACAACTAGTCTTAGTATCATGATATGTTCAGCCTCAGAACGAAGGGCATATTTTACGCTGTACGTCTGGCGATGGGATTACATGGTCTAGAGATTAGCTCGAAATAGTTGATGCGTTATCGCAGCTGGAAAGTATGAAAACCAAGAGGAACGATGCCAATTTGGGTGCCAGGCCATACATGAGTTTATCCGCATGTACGCCCGCGACTCCGAAGTTTCCTCTGAGCTGCACAAGCATATATTAAGCGTTTGCTAGACGATTGTCTCATGCATCATGCAGGCAACATGACCTCTAAAAGCTTTGAGTCATCCTTGCATTGTGCGACGTCAAACATCAATCGCCTGGAAGGGATCAGTGAATGATTGACAAACATCAACCTGCTAGTTAACAAAATGAGATTTCTATCAACAACGACAGTAAGCAACGCACTCATAGGACGTCGGGTTGGCGCAACTAGGCTCATGGGCATGTGAAGTCTATGCAGACTAGGAACACGCCACTGCCACCAAAAACATGCCTACGCCTACCTCCCTGTGCAGTGCGATCACCGTCTGAGTTACACCCACCACGTGCAGCAGGCTCCGAGCACTGACCGCTTGCCTCTTGGCGATGTTCTCAGCACGTTCGTAAAGACCTAAGCACAACTTGCCCATACGTACCACGCTGGCAGCAGCCCGGCCTCGAGAATAGAGTTGGAGATCAAAGTCGAGCACGAGTCGAGCACAAGTGTGACACTGAAACTAAATGTTCTGTCCTTATCACATGACTAATTTGGTTCAGAGGCTGCGATGGTCCATCCCTGCTCATTGACAGAACTCACAGCATGATGGGGATCAAGGCGGCGGCGGCGGCTTAAATACCTTGAAGCATACCAGTGACTATGTGCTGGGCTGGAATATGTAAGGTGATACGCAGGACTCTGTATAGGTTGTAAGAGGGCTAATATGGGCAGGTACAGGTGAAGGGACATACCATGATCCATCGGACTCTGCTCTCTCCGATTTATCGATTCCGGACTAAATGCTCTGAGTAGCTTGCAAGGTGGGGTGGACGCAAAGTATTTGAAATCCTCCTGATCAATATGTATTGAATTGCTTCAGTGAAAACCTGATTCGAACATTTTGACGTGAATTATAGGCTATGCGTGGCAAGAATATGAATGCCTGACTTCACATGTTAAATGACGACTTGGAGTTCAACATTATTCGTGAACGTTCAATTTGCGTTCAATTGGCCCAACTTGCTTATGTCATCATAAGCAAAGTTATAATTGAATTGTATGAGCAAAGTTGGGTCGAAGTTTCCCGGTCGACCATAATGTTTGCGTACCTGGAAAGCACAACCTGGGTCCGATGAGCACTACCTTCTTCCCGTCCATCCCACACAACACTTCCCACGATGGATTTCAGTAAGTTTCCCCCCCGCTCGCTACTCCATGACTCGCACTGACATCGACTCTAAGCACATCCCTCATCTTCTAGTGGCTCGTGGAACTGTCTATGCAATGTCGTAGAATATAGTGGCATTTTTGATTCTGAATCTCGCCAGCCCCACTCACGGTGCATGGAAAACACTCGTGTTGCCCTTCGGAGGAGCATAACCCAGGTCCTTGACCAACGTGATCGAACGAACATCTGGCTTAACGGTCTTGCTGGTGTTGGAAAAACATCTATCGCGTTCACCATAGCTGAGGAGATGAAATCAGCGAAGAGGCTTGCTGCCACGTTCTTCTTTTCACACAAACATGCACAAAAAGCTCCCACCATCATTCCCACTATCGCATATCAGCTGGCACTAGCTTTCCCGCGCATTCGAGGAGATATTGTGAAAGCGATCGAGAACGACGACAGCCTCCTATCAGATGGAAAATCTCATGCGGATCAGATGCGAGAGCTTGTCATCAGGCCACTACAGACCTTGAAATTCCGCGAGGAGTCCTATGTCATCATTATTGATGCTCTCGACGAATGTTTTTCACAGGAAGAGGCGGCAAGACTTCTCGCGTTGTTGACAGATACCCTCTCAGGCCCATCCTTGCCACTTATCCACTTAATATTTACAAGCCGCCCCGAGGTACATATTCGCGCTGCCATGCCTTCCGGTGTCCACGAGATTCTCCTTACCACTCGTGATAAAGACACCATACAGGATGTTCGTTTCTTTTTGCGAACATCACTGGATAAAACAAGGACAATTCGTCCTGCTGTTTTCGGTCAGCCACCCATACCCTGGCCATCGGAGGATGAGTTCGAGACGTTGGTCTTTAAGGCAGGCGGTCTGTTTGTTTATGCTGCCATGGCCATGAATTTCATATCCACCGCTGGTCATCATCCACAGGAGAGACTAGAACTCTTACTACGCAAGAAGTCGACTGTCGGTGCTGACATTGATCAGCTTTACCGGGAGATAATCGAAGCTTCAAAGGATCCACTCGCACACTGTCGGATGTTAGCGTCCATAATCAATCTTAGACATCCGTTGTCACTTGCGGAACTCCAAGAACTCTTTTACGTGGATAAAAGAAGCTTGGCCATGATGCTTGAAGCATTTTCACCCGTGATCTTGAATGATGGGGCCGGGCATGTTGAGATTTATCACGCTTCGCTCCGCGACTTTATGAATGATCCTTCACGGTCGAAGCAATATCACATAGATGCCCCACATACTCATGAGCACCTTGCGTGCTGCTGCCTTGACTTCATCACACGTCAGGGTTCCGTTCGGACTCACGCCATTCTAGTGTCGCCATTGCCTTATCCATATCCACATCAGATGTGGGATATTCATCTTCGTTCTGCCTACCCTAGCAGCAAACTTCGAAATCTGCTGTCGCGGTTTACGAACGAATCATTGCAACATTGGGTACAGACCTCGAGTTCAAACCTTACCTTGCTCGAATCTATCCAGGGCGCAAGGAGGACTTGTTTATCCTTGGTGATTAATGTTTTGAACGTGTTGAATTATTGGAAACTGTACTAACCATTAATTGCTCAGAAATGGATCAGGAGTCCATCGGACATTGTGGTTGCATGGCGTCTTCATAAAGGTTCTAAAAAATTCGCAAAGCGATACTAGCCGATACTACACGGAGCCCATGCAGCCATTTGGACTAATTATTGCTGTTCGGATCACTAGCCAGTGTAGATCTGCTGAACTTTATGGTCTCAACGGCGCCAGTACCACTGCGCTCGTTTCAATGCACGTCCGTGGAAAACACTCCCCAACTCAAGCACTGGCTTCCATTCAAAAAGCAGTCTATATGCATCAAGTACGAGTACGTTCCGGCTGCTCCTGCACCCGTGCATCTGGTTATGTCTGTCTGCATCGACGACCCGCAACGTCCCTGAGCCCTATCAAAGGCCATGATAACGCTTTTCGGAACCATTATCTGATACTCAGGCTGATAACCGTCCACATACGCGAATTACCAATCATGACGAGGAAACGCAAGAACTTGCGACTGACCAAATGCATGAGACCAAGGTTGACATGATGAGCAAGACTTTAGTGTGGAGGGTCGTTTCTCGAAGTGTATGTGTAGTTCGGTTATCCCGTCGTCTCTCAAATTTAGAGTGACGAAGGCACACGGGCCAGGAGATTGGTTTGTTGTAAGGCCGATCGATTTCGTTTTGGAAGAGCTCGAATGTCGACATGTCATCCGTGAATGGTGGTCACCTTGCGTATACTCTATTTGAAGGGTTGGTTTCCAGCGGCATTGGTCCACTTACTCGCCGAGGGTTAACTTTAAAACTGTTCATCACCCATATTACTGCGCGACGTCTCTACGCGTGACAAGGAACTGTCTATTCAGGGTGCCTGGGAAAGTTTAAATCTTGATAGTCACAAGCCTAAGTTGGACCCCGCTGGCGTAATGTGAGTCCATGTCATCAGAACGCTGGCTTCGAGACACTGATATTAATATCAACGCGCACATGACAGCGACTGATCAGGTGCCCAGCGAGTTGGGCAGCTTATATACGTTAGATATACTGAGTCCTTCCCATCATCATACCACACTAGTCCCTCGCACCCACAATGGAGCCCACTAAACAAACCCTCCCAATCGGTGGTCTCCTCGTTGATGTTTACTCCCACCCAACTTCAACCTCTAGCTCCACACACCCAATCCACGTGCTATTCTTCCTCCACGGCCGCTTCGGAAGCGCACAAGATGAATACATAATTAATGCTGTTAAAGTTATTTTTGCTGAGAGTTATGGATTGGGCGGGGGAGAGAGGAAGAAAGATCTTATCGTCGTCACTTTTGTGAGTCATTCTTTGCTTCGTCTTCGTACGGAAGAAATGATGATGGTGGGTGGGGGACAAGGATCACAGGAACCACGGGACGAGACTTGTGAGCAAGCAGCGAAATTTCGCGTGGAGCAAAGAACCGGCCGAGAATAATGATCATCATGCGTACGTTGCTGTCTATTCATAAAGCTGATAATGTCCCCTCATTCGAATGCAGGGTAGACATGTATACCATCCAAAGTATGTCCAGGCCACAACCGGTACTAAACGTGAGTCGTGAATCTGACCCCACTCGAAGCTGGTACAGCACAAGACGTGTCCTTCTTAATCGATCATCTTTCTTCCTCCCTCTATCCCTCGGGTGAGCGAACGATTGTGGAATGGGGTATAGGCGGTGTGAGCCTTGGAGGACATTCGACGTGGATTGCGCTTTCTAGAGGTACGTACCCAGCTCGTCTAGCAACTTCATCACACTCACAATCCCTTAGAGCCCCGCCTCACCCTCGGAATCCCCATAATCGGCTGCCCCGACTACACGAAACTAATCTATCA